TTGCATTCATCAGAACTCAGTCTCATGGCTTTGTCCCTGTAGAACGGGACTTGGAAGTGTCATTCCTGGCTGGGCAGTGACTTCCCAGCAGAAACTCTTCAATAGAGAAGAAGGGCATATATATTTGGGGGACAGGTTGAGACATCTTGCACACTTACATTCTGTTGGGTGAAGGGAGACAGACAATAAATATGTAAGCTGACTACATTGTATAGTGTTTTGGATGATTAATAAGAGAGTCAGAGGAGGGGATTAGGGGGTGTAAACAATTGTGAAAATAATTTTCTCAAATGGTTATTCATTGGGCCCTATTGTTTACAGACCACATGTGAGTTGATCCTCTGAGTGAAGAAGTAAAGGCTCTTCTTCCTGAATTGTGCAAGATTGCAAATAGAGACCTTCCTTTGTGTCCAATCAAGCCATATTGTCAAATTACCCTGGAGTTACAGAGCTTATTGAATGCCAAAAATGTTATCAAAAAACGTAACAGATGAAGACTGATAAAGTAGGGTTAAATTTGTTTCTGGGCCCTTTTCATTCCTCTAGCTTATATGTGCCAGTGCTAACCCAAACTGAAGTTCATGTTTTTTTAGTTTTGACTCTGTGTCCACTTTTGGATTATCCCACCTTCTTGATTCTAAAGGGATCTACTTCCCTGATGTGTGTAGAAAATCAAGGGTGATTTCCTCCCTTAGTAATAGACTAATGTAACTTTTATGTTGAAGAATACTAGCTGGTTACTTAATATCAATGAAAAAAAGGTTAGTTGGAAAGTGGCTAGTGAGGGAAGTTGAACGGTGTTAGTAGATGGAAGAAAATTCCAAATTTGGTAAAAGGCAGAGGCATAGACATGTCTGAAAACTCCACTTGTTCCTTGCTTTCTGGACTCAATTCAACAAGCATTTCTTGATCCTTCTTACAGACCTGGCCCTCTGCTAGGCACCAGCAATATAGCAGTAAACACAGTCCTGCTCCTGATCTTGGGGGCTTGACGAACCAGCAGGCGGATTTCAGCCAGACTGAGAAGGGCTGAGTGTCATGCTCACAGTCCCGGGGTTTGTGCTGCGTAGTTAGTGAAGAAACATCAGAGAGGTGACTTCTCTGCCGGGGAGTGGATGACAGGTGTAGAAACCGGCGCCCACTTGGCGTGCGATGATTAGCAAGTCAGCCTTTTGACTCCCATGTTCTTTGTCTGGAGAGGGAAGATAATAACTTCCTTGCCCATCTCACAGGGCTTTTAAAAAGGATCAGATGAAATCATGTTACATGCCAAAGAAATGCTACTCAGGTGTCAAGAGCTATCATTAGGACTAGTTAATCATCTGGATGTTTGGAAAACTTGGGTGCTGTGCAGTGATGCTCTGCGAATGTGACAAAATCTTTCATCCAGAATGGGCCTATGTAGGAAAATCAGGTCTTTGAAAAAGGAAAATAATTTTTAAAAAGTCTGAGCAATAGATTATTTTGGAAGAAAAGTTGATTTTCTTCTTTTCAAGTGAAGTTTGTTGTAAGTGAAGAAAATGAACAGGGAAGACCCATAGAGTACAAACAAAGATGGGGGCGCAAAGAGAGGGAGTGAGCGGAGCAGAGGGGCAGCTGCAGAGGCAGGCGAAGAGCTGGCCGCGAGGCTCCTGCAGGAGGCCGGAGACTTGCGGGCGCACGACCTGCCAGAGCAGTAGCCCTGGCCCGGCCTTCAGAGAACACCCGGAGCCTTTCCCGAACCATTCTTCTTCCAGGGAACGTGTGGCCCCAAAGAGCTCACTCACTATTCCAGAAATAATGACTTGGCTCTTGGCAGCGTTGTTACTCTTCTTATCGCCTGTGGTTTCCTAAAAGTGTTATTCCAAGAGGAAGAGTTGTGTCAAGAAGGCCTCAGGACTTAATCTGGCTTTTCCATGGACTTTGGTACCTTGCCTGCCAATGCAGAGCAAATTATAAAGCAAGATATTCTTTCAAAAAATGGGGTAAGTTAAGGTAATGTGAGTTATCACTGGCTTGTTCCAAGACCATGAAATCCCATTAATTCAGCCCAAATTTGAGAATTCATTCATCATGGAAAGCACACATAGGAGGTGGGTGGTCAGCTGTGAAAAAAAAAAAAAAAGCTTGTTTTACACTGCTTTCCTCTAATTTATAAATCTGGAAAAATCAGATAAATGGTCATACCTATTTTGCTGAATAAGAAGTAATCACACTAAGCTAACTTTTTTTTAGTCAAATCTCAGTAGTATAGAAACAAATTAGTTATTATAGTTTAACAGAAATAAAATCTGAAGGACAACATGAGCCCTTAGTGAAAATGCAGTCTCCTTTTTCAGTGCTCCACAGTCATGGAGGACTTTACCTCCAGACAACAGAAGGGGTCCGAAGCCTGGCTGAGTGGGGAGAAGTAAATCATTACTTACATGTTGAGCATGTACTATGGTACATGCATCTAACCCAAGTCCCATTTAATTCTCACCACAGCAGATTCTATGAAGCAGGCAGAGTTGTCACAGGTGGGCGCAGGTAACCAGGATCTTGGTGATTGCGCACACAAAATTGAACTGAACACACAGAGTTTATAGCAGAAAGCTACAGAAAGCAGATTTATTAAGCCACACAGAACATCGGAGCAGACCAACTCTGAGCAGAGCAGAGCCTAACAGACTAACAGCCTAACAGGCTAACAGCCCCGACCTCAGGAGGCTAGAGGGCTTTTATTCCTTTAGGGTGGGTCTCTCAGGATTTCCTTGATTGGCTACTGGGAAGGGGTCCCACAATGCTAATTTATTATAATGCTATTATCATAAAGCAGAGCTCAGGTAGCTTCTTCTGCACAGGTGCATTCCTGATTCAGTGCTTTTCCAGAAAGCAGGAACTACCAGTCTTAGAACAGGATCTCTGCCCTTTATTCACGTTCTTTATCTTAGCCCTGGGGCACCTCTGGAGTTTCCTGCTTCCTGACTATCTCCTGCCTCAGAGTCACCTGCATTTCATCAATAAGTATACTATTGAGGCCAGAAGGGTGACTTTTACCAAAGGTTACACAGAAGTGGTGGAGCTAATAATATTCAAGCCAGCCTACCTAACATTAAACCTGAGGTCTTTCCTCAGCCTGTCCCTTTATTTTGAAATTTCCTTGGGACTTTGGCTAGAGACTGGCCAGGAAGCAGAGGCCTTGGAAAGCTGAGTGGGTCAGTGAATAGAGGAAAATCTCCAGTATCACAAAGGTGTAAGGGTCAGGAAAATCCCTCATTACAAATCACTACCCCAGGTTCAGGCACTCTCCCTCTTTCCACCTCTTTCCTCCTTTCTTTTAAGGCAGGGTTTCTCAGTCTTGGCCCTACTGACACTTAAGACCAGATACTTCTTTGTTGTTGAGGCTGTCCGGTGCATTGTAGGGTGTTTAGTAGCACCCTTGGTCTCCACCTACTAGAGACCAGCAGCAGCCCTTCCCAGTGATAACACTAAGACTTGTCCCCAGGTGTGGCCAAAGGGCTTCTGGGATTGGGAATCCTCCCCTGCCCCAGGGAAGAGTCATTGTTTTGTGGCAACCAACCAACGCAGTTTACCCTGAAACGAAGGGCTAAAACAAGGATGGTGAGGGGAAAACTGGGTTGATTGGTCATCCTACAAGTGAAATTTCATCTTTGGTTAAATAAAGGCTGTGGCTGGGAGACAGGCATTGTATTGATAACGTGGTTGTCCCAGCAGTGTTCAGTTTCTCTAAGCTGTTCCTGTGCTAAGCCCATCTGCTTAACACTTTTCTTTCCACCTCTAGCTCTACCTGCTTATGATCAGAGTGGCTGTTTGAGTGACTGTGTGAGTCTTTTTAGGACAGAAGGAGACCAGAGGGAATGCTGGGGAAGGGGGGAGGTGTGTGTGTGTGTGTGTGTGTGTGAGAGAGAGAGACAGAGAGAGAGCGAGCGCACGAGCGCAAGCTGGGAGAGGCAGTTGGATGCAGGACCACAGGCAGCTCATTGGTGTTGCCTGGGGGGGCATTGCGCGCACGAGAGTGTGTGTGTGTGTTTACTGATGGGTGTCCCACCTGCGGCCCAACACAAAATTGGAAATTTACTTAAAACATGGTGAGATTTCTTTGTGATTATGTGTTGCAGTGTATTTAATATGTGGCCCAAGACAACTCTTCTTCTTGCAGTGTGGTGCAGAGACACCAAAAGGTTGGACAACCCTGTGAGAAGTTAATGAATATTGGATGGGGGAAGGTTTTCAGCTCGGAGTTAACTTGGCCTGTGCCTAGGTTGTATGCACATTTTAATTTATTTGCTGTTATGAAATATTTTTATGAGTTACTCTGATGACTTATTAAGGGCATATTCCTGAGAGACATGAATAAAAGAAAATCCTCAAAACTGGTTTGTTATTAGGATTATTTTTGTTGTGTTGTTTGAGAATATATTAGCAGTAGTAAGAAATATTTTGGATCTTTGCAAACTTACAAAGCACTTCCAAAATGTGTCATATCTCTCAGCCTTTTGCTCTGGGTGTCATTCATATTCCCATTTATAGGATGAACACAACAGAGTTCTGAAGGTGATAAGTAGCTGGCTGAGGGCCAATGCCAGGTTTTTGCATCTGAGTCACGGGGCATTGCATCTTGTGACCTCCATATTCCTCCAGGAGAATGAGTCCCGCATGTAAGTGCTGAGTCTGTGTTTCTGTAACTGTGAGTGGTGAAATGACAGGAGTCGATATGGAGGGAGAGAATCAGCTCTTTTGCCCTGACCCTGACGATGGCTCTTCCCCCTCCTCTGTCTACAGCAAGTGGGAGAATGAAGCCGTATCTACCAGGGTGTGCCTACAACCCTACGGTCACACCTGACCTTGGAGACTTTGTGCTTTCCTGTGCTTTTTGACAAACGTGTGAAGGATGTGATTTGCAAGAAAGATTGCTTAACACTTCCTTGATTATGCAAACCGGCAGATTTGCCAGGAACTCTTTACGCCCAGACGCTCTAAGCCAGTGCCCTCCCATTGGCCCATTGGTTTGAGTTTTTGGAGGAGGTGTGTTTTTCCAGTTACAGAGCAGTGATAACTGCCAGTGTCCCTTGGGAGTGAGGTACCAGGAGTTTGGGGACTCCACCTGTTGACAATGACGGCAGACGAGCTGGTTTTCTTTGTGAATGGCAAAAAGGTAAGCAGGAGCTGACCTTTGCTTTGGCTTCCATGCTCCCTGGGAAGGGATGTGTGTCATGTGGAACAAGCCATTATGTTCTCTCTCTTTCATGTTTACTCTCACCTGTTCTCTTTTTCTCCCTCTCCCTTTAAAGATGTGGCTGCTTTTGGAGTAAAATTGGGGAAAGAAGACCATCTCAGGGCTAGAACACAATTAAGACACTCAAGGGGCAAAGGAGTGAAGGGGAGGGAAGCAAGGAGAGAGGTGTCTGTGAGCTCCCCCCACCCGGCCCACCCTCTGCAGTGGTAGAGACATGAGAAGCTGAGGGGAGGGGACAGGGTTCTAGCTGAGACTAGAGGTCACCCACCACTCTTCTGTTTCTGTATTTAATCAAATATGTCCTAAGGCTTCTGTTGACCTCTTTACTGAGGGAGGGAATGGGAACATGCTTTTTTGCTAATACCAGGATATAAGACGTACACAGCCTTTGCTTCTGATATTTCATGTGTGGAAATACAGGGTCTGGTAGGAGTAATGCCTGCTTGAGTGTGATTGGTAGGGTAATAATATGGGTGTAATAATTTATAGTTTTAATTTTAATGTTTCACCTAAAATGTCATATGGTGTGCTTGAGTGTGATGCTGTTATGTTACAGAACTACGTGCATGATTTTGTAATGAAAGATTTTATAGTAAAAACAGGGGCGTTATTTGTGCCAGATTCTGTACAACATGTAAATTGTGGGAGGACATATACTGACATCTTGTGGCAGCCACATTTAATTTCATAAAGGGCAGGGTCCCCTCCCACCCTTAGTGCTACATGTAAGTATTGCAGATATCTTACTTTGATAAAAATTGACCATTTGGGTAACTTCAGTGGTGCACAAGGACCTAGGGAAGGCGAGGGTGGGGTGGGGCAGAGGGGGACTTAGTACATGGGAACCAGTCGTTGTAGCACAGGAAAATATGAAGACCTTTGCAAATTCTAATGCAGGTGCTGAGAGAGGGGGTGCAAGCACATTACATTATCTACAACCTCCACTAGCCCTCTCTCCTGCACTGCTGCCATGCTGGCATCTGCTTGAGCTCCCTAGTTGGGAATGAAAGGAACAGTGCAAGGGTAGCCTTAGTTGCACATTGTAAATGGTCATGTGAGGGACGAATGTGCCCAGTGGGCACCCCTGACCCCAAAAGAAATTTTATTTGATTTGCTGTATTGGTAGTTTTGATACGAGAAGCAGGGTGACTTTCAAGGTAATTTTCAAGAACTAAAATGTGCTTTGTAGGACGTTTAGTGCTTAAATTGTAAGGGTGTATTAGAGTGACTAGCAAGAAAATTCCATGAGCCATCTCATCAGTGCTCCAAAAGCTGTGGATGCAGTTTGAGTGGTGTCCCTGGGAGGTACTGGGGAGTGGGGTTTTCTCCCTGTGCCACTTCCTTTCAGGACAAAGTGGTAGGACAAAGTTTCTCTGTTGGTGGTAGTAAAACTTCTGCATCCACCATTTCAAACAATGTTGTTGCATTCAGCAGTTACACTGTAGGGGTTTAAGAAACAGTTGTTAAATTGGTTTCCTAGAAGGGTTACTTACACAAAGGCGTCTTCTGCGTAATTTTTGTAAGCAATTTTTACTTTGGTTGAGCAGCTGGATTCAGTGACTTCCAAAGTCATGTCTCACTCTAAGATTTGATTATTTCTTAAGCCATGAATTCCTGTGTGATGGTACAAACTTCTGTTTTTTATGGATGATTTGCTATGATTCACTGGAGCATTTCTCCCTCCCTCCCTCCCTTTCTTTTTCTTTTTAAAAATACTTGCCTGAGGATATATTTATTGATTTTAGAGAGAGAGGAAGGGAGAAGAGAGAGAGAGAGAAACTTCGATTGGTTGCCTCTCAAACAAGCCCCCAATCAGGGGTCAAACCCTCAACCTAGGCATGTGCCCTGACTGGGAATTGAACCCGCAGCTTTCTGTATATAGAATGATGCTCCAACCAACTGAGCCACTGGGCCAGAGCTTCACTGGAAAGTTTCAAGGGAAATTGGGCTTGGCAAAAATTGTTTTTCCAGGTATTTTATTTTCACCTTATGAAAGCAATATAAAATTTTTAGATGATATCATCACACCAAACTATGCCATCTATTACTGCCAGTTTCTATGATGAATGTCCATGTTTGTAATTTGAAAACATGTGGCCTCTTGAGACACTACTGGAAAGTGGCAGAGACAGTGCAAGGAGCAATGATATAAAAACATACTATACAAACAAGGCCCAGAAAAGAAATCCCAGACAACCTAGGGCAGCTGTGAGTGTGTTTCCATGTCTATTCTCCAATGTTCTAGACCTTTTATTTATAGGATGTTATGAACAAAAGTTACAAAAGAAGGGGTCAGAACTTGGTGACTCACTCTTCTTCTTAAAGTAGGCTCTTTAACATTCACATTTTTAAAAATAAATCATGTTTATTCTATTACAGTTGTCTCAATTTTAACCCCTTTTTCCCCTTCTACCCATCCCACCCCCACCCCCTGCTCCCAGAGTCAGTCCCCACTCTGTTGTCGTTGTCCATGTCCGTGGGTCATTCATACGTGTTCTTTTTCTAGTCCCTTCCTCTTCTTTCCACCATTGTCCTCTTTCCCCCTCCCCTCTGGTCACTTTCAGTCTGCTCCATGTTTCTGTGCCAGTGGTTTATTTTGTTCGTTAATTTATTTTGTTGAATAGAGTCCACTTATAGGTGGTATTTGACATATATGGTATTTGTCTTTCATCAACTGGCTTATTTCACTTAGCTTAATATTCTCCAGTTCTATCCATGTTGTCGCAAAAGGTAGGAATTTCTCTCTCTCTCTCTCTTTCTTTCTTAAATGCAGATTGATTTTATTTATTTTTTTACATGTCAAAGTTAATTATAAAATATTAAAAAAATTTAAAACCATTATAAAGTCTCAGCAATTAAACCAACATGACATCAGCACAGAAATAATCAAGTAGATTAATGAAATATAATGAGCATCCTAGAGACAAACGTATGTATCTGTCTAACAATATAATATATGATTTAAGTTGATATTTCAAATCAATGGGTAAAATAAGGCTTATTCAACAAATAAGGTGCATGGACCACTCTATTACTTGAAATAAAACAAATATAGAGCACTGTTTCACACATTATACAAGAAATAGTCAGGTGAGTTAAAAATCAATATGTAGAATCTAAGGAGTTTTAGAAGAAAATAGAACTAATATTTTTCATGACCTGAAGTAAAATATTCAAACCCAGAAGTTATAAAGTAAATATTGACAATATGACTATATTAAACATTTAACTATATAGTAATATACATATAAAAAAAGTTAAAGGACAAGGAATAGAATAGAAAAGTATTTGCAGCACATCTAAAACACGGTTAATAGGTTTTTTGTTTTTTGTGGGGTTTTTTAGGGAAAAAAGTTCTACAAACCTTTAATCAATAATTGGATAAAGAATACCAAAAAGTCATTTAAAGCTTTTTTTTTTTAAAAATAATAGAAATAGGCAAGAAATAAACAGGTTTAGTTTCAACAAATAGTAAAGGAACAATTAAAATAACATCATTGTCACAATCAGATTAATGAGTATTAAACATATGGGTAATATCAAGTATTGGCAACTGTGAAAGAAACTGGGTATTCATAGAAACTTTTTCTTCATCTTGAAGTAGACCCTTTAGCATATTTTGCAGTGCTGGTTTGGTGGAGGTATATTCTTTAGCCTTCTTTTGTCTGGGAAACTCCTTATTTTGCCTTCCATTTTAATTGAGAGCCTTGCTGGGTAGAGCAGTCTTGGTTGCAGACCTTTGCTTTTCATTACTTGGAATATTTCTTGCCAGTCCCTTCTGGCTTTCAGAGTTTCTGTTGGGAAGTCAACTGCTAGCTGTATTGGGACTCCCTTAAATGTTACTACCTCTTTCTCTCTTGCTTTAGGATTCTGTTTGTCTTTGATATTTGCCATTTTAATGATGATGTGTCTTAGGTGGGCCTCATTGGGTTCCTCTTGAATGGGACCCTCTGTGCTTCCTTGACTTGCATGACTTTTTCTGTACTCCAGTTAGGGAAGTTTTCCATCATTACTTATTCAAACAGGTTCTCTATCCCTTCCTTATCCTCTTCTCCTTCTGGTATCCCTATTATGCAGATATTATTGCATTTCAGGTTGTCCTCCATTTCCCTCAATGCCTCTTCATTCTTTTTGAGTCTTTTTTCATTTTCTTGCTCTTCCTGGGAGCTCTTTTCTAACTTATCCTCCAGCTCGCTGATTTGGTCCTCAGCTTCATGTAGCCTGCTTTTGATTCCTTCTACTGTGTTCTTCAATTCAAAAATTGTATTCTTCATTTCCTCTTATCTCTTTTTGATAGTTTCTATGTCCTTTTTAATGTTGATATAGTTTGCAGTAAGTTCCTCATAGTTTCCCTGTAGTTTTTGGTAATTCTCTCTCAGCTCACTGAGTTCATTGAGCTTCTTTAGAAACTGTTGTTTGGAACTCAATATCTGATAGTTTACTTGCCTCTATTTCATTTAGTTCTCTTCCTGGGGATTCCTCCTTTCCCTTCGAGTGGGGCATATTTCTTTGTCTTCCCATTATTTGTAAGACTCTTCTCTTTTGCTTCTAATTCTTAAGTTGCTCTGTCTTGATCTCCTGACTTTGTGGTGTCCCCCCCCCTTTTTTTTTTAACAATACTCATTTGGTGGTAATGAATTCCTTTAGTTTTATTCATTTATTTTGTTTGGGAAGCTCTTTATTTCTCTTTCAATTTTAAATGATGGCCTCGCTGGATAGAGTAGCCTTGGTTGCAGATCCTTACTTTTTATCACTTTGAATATTTTGTGTCAGAATATTTTGTTCCTTCGGGCCTGACGTGTTTCTGTTGAGAAATCTCCTGACAGCCTTATGAGACCTCCCTTGTAGGTAATTAACTGTCTGACTCAGTGACTCACTCTTAAATATGAGCCCTCTGCTCTCCCTCTTTCAGATTGCTGTCTGGGACTTCACTAGCTGGGGTCCTGCAGAGGATGTAAGATACCAACTATCAAATGCCCCCAGGGCCTTGCCTGTTGTTTTCACTTCTTCTGATCTAGAGTGAGAGCGGAAGGGAAAGAGCTGCCCGGGCTCTTGTTATTATTGTAGTGACAGTCTGTTTGGAGGGTAGGAATCTAGCTTTTCTGAGCCATCACTCTCTGGTTAGCGGAGATCGTGGATCAGGAGTCTGGGAAGATTTACCATGCAGCTGAAGGTGCCCCGCAGTTATTCCCACAAGACGTCAGTGTCAGGGAGCCACTCTTCTCTCCTTCCCTCCCTCCCTCACATCATTTAGCAAGCTTCCGCCAGCCCAGAGCCTGTTGGGTATGCATAAGCTGGAGGCATTTACCATTCAGGAATTTATGAACTATTTGGAGAAGTAGGTTATGGTTAGGCAGAGTAATATCTTCCAAAATGAATTTCACAGAAAACTAGCTCCATGAGATACTCTTCTTAGGCATTCCTAAAACTCTCAGCCCAGTTGACACAAAGTTGGTGCCCAGTTAATGTGGATACAATGAATAGATGAATATTAAAGGCCCTAAGAAATCCTTTGGCAAAGAAATTTATTTTTTAAACTTTGTATTTTAAATTTACAAAAAAGTTGCAAGAAGAATACAAAGAATTATTAAATAGACTTTACCTCCCTATTAACATTTTGCCACATTTGCTTTCTCTTCTCTCTCTACATGTATATAAATGCGTTTATAGGTGCATATGCAGATATATAGATACATGTATTCTATGTACACAAATATTTTTATATATTTATTCATGTATAGAAATAATAGAAATAGATATAAAACATAAAATTTTATTTCTGAATCATCCAAGGGTAAATTTCAGACATACCCCTTTACCCCTTAAACTAAAAATAAGGATATTATGACAGAACAATAGTCTCTCTTAAAAATCAGGAAGTTGAGTATTGATATGATGCTGTTATCTAGTCTATAGATTTTATGCAGCATTATTTCAATTTTTCCTGTAACATCCTTTATAACGCCCCCACCCGGACCCAGCCCAGGGTTATGTCTTGCAGTTAATTGTCATGTCTCTTTCTTCTCCTTTAATGTGGAACAGCTCCTTAGCTTTCCTTGTCTTTTGTGACATTGATGTTTCTGAAGGGAACAAGTCAGTTATTTTTTCGAATGTCCTTCATTATGGGTTTGTGTCATGTTTTCCTTTAATTAAATTCAGGCAGGGCTACCAGAGAAGCAATGTATCCTTCTCAGGAGGACAGAATGTCAGTTTTCCCCATTAGTTGTGAAGTGAAACTTTGATCATTTAGTGAAAGTAGTGTTTACCAGGTTACTCTTTTTTTCCTTTATAATTAATAAATTATCTGTGAGAGGAACTTTGAGGCTATGTAAATATCTTGATTATCAAACTTTCATCCACTAGTTTTAGTATCCATTGATGATTCTCAGCTGGATCAATTATCGGGCAGATTACAAGATGGCCGACCATGTATGTTGGCATTCTTCTACCAAGAAAACTTTCCCTTTCCTCCTATTTGCTTGTTTATTTATTTACTAATTATCAGTTCACACTCGTGGAAGTTTCAGTTTTATTTAATGGACTATAAACCCATTTTGGCCATTATTTGTTTTGGTGATTGAACTTTTCCAGAACAATCTGCTTAACCCAGTGTTTCCTAAGCTCACTTCCCCACTAAGTGTTTTCCCTTCAGGATACCCATTGGCATCCTGTTGAAGGAGATCTGTGGAATTTGCTGGGGGCAGAGCCTGCAGCCATGCTGCCGTGAGAGGGGCACCGCCATCCTCTGTAGGAATTCAAGGGAGATGGGCCCCTTATGGCTGGGGTGATATGGAAGCCTTTACTAAGCAAGTATTGGGGGTCTTCTGATAAGTCAAGACGCAGATGGAAGAGGAATGAAATGGCCAGACTTCAGAGTCAGAAATTATTTATTTTCACAGGAGTGCAAAGACCAGCCTGACAGGGAAGGTAGGAGAGAGAAAGGCTGAAAGTGAAGATTGGGGACATTGAAATGGGCCTGGAAAGACAGCCTAAGGGACTTGGGTGTTACCTTGAATATGTGGGAGGTCACTGAAAACATTGAACAAGGAACTGAGGTGATGTTACGAAAGTAGAACTGGAGGACAAGAGGAAGGACCAACTTGGGAGAAGATGGTCAGGTAAGAGGCCCTTACAGCTGTCTGCAGGAAAGGCAAGGCAGATCTTTATTTTGTGTGCCTGCGATGTCTTCTCCAGGAGAAAAGACATAACTTCTTGTGTAAACTTTGTAACCAGCACTTTGAATAAGCTGGGCTTGTGGGGTGTAATCAAAAATGAAAACTCATTTTATCTTCTACTTTCCTTTAAACTTTATTCAGGAGCTGAACTCTAGCAGTTTTGTTATCTCTTTGATTAATTCTGGTCAATAAAAAAAACCCTAGGGCCATTTCTAAGTTGCCTAACGCAGTCTCAATTCAGGATGGAGAGGTGAAGGCAGCAAGAAGGTTTTCATTTAATTGGTGCTACCTACCACCGGGAGTGTGCAGTCACCGCTCTGTGTCATGGGGGAGTGCTTTCCTCCGGCCAGCTGCTCTCCCTCCGCCGCTAGTTTGGGAGGTCTACTCTATGCAGGCTCTGTTGGAGTTCCCATCACCTGTAGTTATTATTGTTTTTAGAATGGCTTAAATGCCTCCAAGCCAATCCTCTCTCTCTCTCTCTCTCTCTCTCTCTCTCTCTCTCTCTCTCTCTCTCTCTCTCATGCATGGCCTACCCTAAGTCTATAGCCAGCACTTCACATGTTTTGCTCTCCCAAACTCTGGGGGTGCACCCCAATCCCAACATTCACATGGCACTTCTTAAGCTTGTGTGGTGAACCCACTTCTAGCTGTTTAGATATGCCAGACCACCACATCCCTATGTGGCGCTATGGAAACACCCTCATGAAGTTTGAGGTGTGAGGCAGGTACTCCTCTCCTGGCTTTAGGAAGACGTAGGACTCATACTACAGGGCTCTTTAAAGAAATCCTTATCACAAATTCTCTCCCCTTTACCATCCCAATTATCCAAACCCCTTTACCCTTGATAATGGGTGAGAAGTAGTGAAATGGTTTTACGTAGATTTCCTGACCATTTGCATTGGGAACTAGCACTTCGCTTGGTAGACAGCCTTCTCCATCTTACTGAAACTTCCATTTGTGGCCCTTTGGTTTGAGATTTCTCCTCCATTTCCGACATGTGTTAAATGTTGACTGTGATAGCCCCATGCACGCAATACTCTATGAGCGCAGGCCCACAGATTGGCTCTCTGCCTTCTGAGCATGTACACTCCAGGAGGCAAAGCCAGAGAGAGGCGTGCTGCCGCTCTCAGCTGTCTCTGGCATCCACGGGTGTGACCCAGCAGCTGAAAATGAGATGACATGTTTGATGCAAAGAGGGCTTTGCTTCGGTCAGCCGAGTGTGGCAGAAGCAACTCCTAAGTGCCCTGCGGTGGGTCCTGAGCTGAGCACTAATGTAGAATCTTAGAAATGAAAAATATGAGCACCTACATAGTTTGGCTTGTAGTTAATATGTCATTCTTAGGGAATTATCAAGAAAAGCTGTTTAGTTGTTGTAAGATATTTAACACAATCTATTAACTTTACAAATTCTTCAGTAAGAATGGTTAAGTACACCTATGACATATTTTTCTGTTGTTTTTATAGGTGGTGGAGAAAAATGCAGATCCGGAAACAACCCTTTTGGCCTACCTGAGAAGAAAGAGTATCCTGACTTTGGGGTGGGGGTGAGGGAGTGGGGGCAGCAGACCAGGGCCCTGACACTTGCATTCTAGTTGCAGCTTTGTCAGTGGCAGCTGTGGGACCCCCAGAAGTCACTTGAGCGCTGGGTCTGAAATTCTCAGCCATTGAATGTAAAGATCACTTTTGATGTTCCTTAAGATCTCTTCTAGCCTGGGCTCTAGTAAAGCCAAGGTTTGACCCTGGGCCTGCAGGACAAACCGCTCCCATAGATGCTCATTAACCCTGGTGAGCCTCGTGGTCATTTCTGTGCTGGAGGAAGGGGGTTTTCCTCAGCCTGTCTTTGTCTAACACAGCAGTGGGCTTACTCGGGAAAGCTGCTAGCTCTGAGGAGGTGGAGAGGAAGTCAGAGGAAGTCAGAGGAAGTGGTGCTTGCTGGGAAAGGGATCCCTGAGGTGGGGAACTATGTAGAGGCGCCATCCATGTGGAAATGGCAACGCTGAGAGGCTTGGACGAGGTGATACCTTGGGGAGCTTCAGATTCTGCTCTTCACTCAGCATGGGGAGGGTACCTGTGAGAACCCCCACACCTTTTATAAAATTTATTTTTATTTATTTATTTTTCAATTACAGTGTACATTCAGTATTATTTTGTATTGGTTTCCAGTGTTATGACATAGGGATTAGACAATCATGTACTTAAAAAGAGTTCCCCCTCATATTTCCAGGGCCCACCTGCTACCACGCATAGTTATTCCAATATCATTGACTGTGTTTCCTATGCTGTACTTTACATCCCTGTGACTATTCTGTAATGTGCCCCTGTAACTTGTTCTTTCAGAGTAGGAAAATATTCTGAGACCCTGGAACAAAAATAACAGTAAAAATATAATAGTAGCTAACATTTAATGAGCACTTCCTACACACAGGTGGAGTTCAAGGTGATTTCCGTAGGTTATCTCACTGACCTCCACAGCAGTCCCTTTCTCAGAGGGGGAAGTGAGGCCTGCACACGTTAAGCGACCTGCTTTTCACTGCAGCATTTTGGGAAAACATCTGCAGAGCTTAAACTAAGGCTTAGAACCACACTCTTTTCTACCTGTACTGGACACTCTCCAGGGATCTCTGTTGTCAGGACATTGCTCATCCTGACGTTTGTCAACAAACCCCTCTTGCTTCCAGAGGCAGGAATGTACAGTGGCTGATTGCAGTGACATATTGGGTAACAGCAAAGGATCGCCTCAACACCCACCCAAGTGAGCCTGAAACCCAGGGCCTTATCTCTGGTTCCCTCACTTCCCATCACACGGTTGCTGGCTCTTGCATACTTTGACTGGATTTTCGAGCCAGAGGGGGCAGGTCTGGAGGTTCACAGCATATGAACCTGTGGGTTTTTTTAGGTTGTTGACATTAAGTTTAATTTTCTACTAAAGTAGTTGAAAGTTCAAAAGTCTCAGAAAGTCCTGGTCATAGACATTGACTGGTTTAAAGGTCAATTCACAAACGAAATCCAAAACTGAAAGTTGGCACATAAATACGAAATCCCTGTGGCTTATTGCTTCCTGTGTTGAGCGCTCATTTGTGGGGGCTCCAGGCAAGAGAGAAGACCTTCCTGGCTTCCAGAAAGATCCCCAGGCTAGAAGGAAATCTTATTGGACTCTTGCTACCATTGATGTTCACGTGCCCCCAGCGTTGTCTGAACTGCTGCTAACTGCATATACCCTGACCAGTGAAAAGAGTACGAGAGGACTCAGAAAGTCCTCCCCAAATGTGTTTTACAAGAAGCAGTGGCATGGGGCAGGGCCAGCCCCCACACCTGGAGTCAGACAGGTGTGTCTGAGCCCTGACACTCAAGCTAACACAGGTGGCTGTGTTAGCGTGCAGGGCTCACGTTACCTCTTGGGTCTGTAGTTTGTTTTTGTTTCAATCTGTGGGGAAACAGCAGTCCCTGCCCCACCTGCTAACCAATGATTGTGAAGAGTCCATGCTTCCAGGTAGAAGATACTGTATCATTGTTAGTTATTAATCTCATCTTGAACATGAGAGAAGTGCCCAGGAGTTGCTAACCGCAGCTCCCTTCATCCTCATCAGGTAGCTGGATTGGTTAGAGGCCTGTGGGTCTGAGGAAAAGTAGCAACGGAGCTCGTGTGCTTCAGGGAAGGTGGCCACTACGATTGCTGTTTTATAGAATAGCCTATTTTTTAGGCACTTTTACAAATACCAAGTATCAGATTATTTCCTTCTGCAAATATGTGTAAGACGTGGCTCCATTAACGGTCCCTGACCTCACAAATATGTTCTATTTATTTCCCTTCACATGCCCTACAGACTGGATATTCAAAAGCCCTGGTCCAGCCCTGCTGTGGATTCCCAGTCTTCATCAGCCCCAAAGGTTCAGGATAAAAAGCTGGGACTCAGCAAATCCCAGAACAGATCAACTTCTCAATCTGGGCTGGGCAGAGTAACAGCTGCCCCATGTGCTCAGACTTTGAGGTGCCCAATTTGTCTGCTTGGGGAAGTCACAGGGCTGGGGCCCTATAAAGTCAGGCCTGCAAGTCCCTGACCCCAAGAAAAGTCTCTGGGATTTGAGTCCCGGTCGAATTTAAGTCCTCGAACTCAAGTCCCAGGGGATGTAACTTGGGTGCATTCCTGTGGGACCCTGATGCCTTTTCCCTCAGGGAAGGTGGAAAGGACCCTATTCCCTGCCTCCCTGGGGCTCAGGGCAGCCCCTCTGATGAGGCCATGTGGGTCTGCGGTCTCCCTGGTGGAGGGGCCTGAGCCTGTGCGCGACCATGATGGTTCTGCCCTCACAGGTCTGCTCAGGGATTTCCCAGGAGCCCAGCAAAGACTCTTTTTTTTCTGTGTTCATGTTCCTTAATCCTCGACCATCCAGTGGGGCTGAGCGGGACCAAGCTGGGCTGTGGAGAAGGGGGCTGTGGAGCTTGCACTGTGATGGTTTCCAAGTATGATCGTCTCCAGAACAAGATCGTGTATCCTTTGCCCGTTGGCTGATTGCCCTTGTGGGGATGATGAAGCTGTGGTCCACTTGTGAGTGAGTGTGTGTGCGCGCGCGCATGTGACTTTTCTAAAATCTGGACTCATTTCACACCTGGTGCAGTCCCCCAACAGGTCTCCACTGCGCCCAGGAGAAAGTCTCATCTTGGCTTAGCGCATGAAGCCCTTCACAATATACCCACCTTTCCTTGCCAGTTTTCTTTCTCTACGTGGGCCCAGTACTCCAGTCATCAGTGTATCCTGGTCCCCTAAGGCAGGGACAATCGTGAACAACTTCCACTCCATACTTACTAATTTCTTGGTCTTTGCATAAGCTGTTTTTCAAGTCTTTTTGAATATCCTTCCTTCAGGGACTTCTTTACGTGACTAATGTTACTAGCTCTTTAGGACTGGGAAAAATAGCGCCTCCTTTAGGAAGCCTTTCTTGATTCCCCCAAGGACTGTGCTAGGTGCCCTTTGTCTAAACTAGTCCCATAGCACCCTGTGTGTAGCCCTCCTGCGCACTTACCATAAGCTACTGAAACCATACCTTCACACTGGCTTCTGTTTTCCTGCGTTGACTGCAGGCTATTAAAGAACAGGGATTTCATCTTACGCGCCTTTATTTCTCAGCCCTCAGCAGGGTGCCTGGTGTGTGGTTGGCAGTCAATAACTGGTGTTAACTCTACAAGTGAATGAGTGATGAATAAAGGGATGGATGTGAGCAAGCTCTAAGGGGTTGGTGTCTCAGGTTCTCTGAGAAATGGGAGCAGTAAAGGTGGGTGAAAACAGCAAAGCAAAAGTGGCCGGAGGTTCTGAAACTGAAGAGGCTACGGAAGGGCTCTACAGAAAGAGGTGCACACATTGGGCATGGAACCTGCCAGAAACGTCCCCTTAGCTCAGCCTGCAGGGTCAGGCTGAGTAAGAGGTGTCTGAAAGTGACCCTGGCTCCCTTGCTCCAGCTGGGACGCCTGGGGTACACTGATGCCTGACCCCGCAAGGTGCTGGAGAGGCTCAGGGCCCGCCAGAAGGAGAGCTACCTTTGTCCCTCTCTCAGAGTCTTGGGGGAGAGGCAAGCACACCTGTAGAAGAGAAAATAACTTAATGTAGAGTGAAAAGAAATGACACACAGCATCACAGACTCTCTAGGCCCTGCATTCCAGTCTCCTCTCATGACCTGAGCGGATGATGCAATAGCCTTAACATGGAATTTCAGTCATTTTTCTGTCAATGCCTGTCTGGCTCCCATCTGCTCCTTGCACCACGTTGCTGTGACGACAGTGGAAGGGATAGGAAGCACCAAGTCGAGGCTGCATCCTGTGCAGGTAACCAGAGCAAAGGGAGTTCACGACAAAGCTGCAGACTTGCTGTGGGTTGTTGGGCTAAGTGTCACCCTGGGAGAAGGAAACATTGTGGCCAGGCCAACTCCCCATCTCCTTAGGGATGAGGCGGTGGATGGTGGGGGACTATGAGGCAGAAAGAGGAGGAGGTACCCAAGCTGCACTCCCTCCAGTGGCGGAGTGAATGTGGCTCCAGGGGAACCAAGGGGCCAATTGGATCTGGTGTCTGGACAGTCCAGTTGTACCAAAACTGCAGGGAGGAGAAATGGGGGAACTTCCTCACCTTGAGCTCAGGTATGCTTAGGAGCCCCCTGCCTTCCCAGCTTCAAGATTCCAAATGCTCCACGCCCCTTGATAAAAAGCCCACCTACTCCCTGCTTTTAGGGTGGCAGTTGCATTGCATCTTTCACCTGCCACCAGCAGATGATAAAAATGTGGGCTGCTAGGCCTCCATCCTCATTAAATGGAGGTAAGCAAGGCCTGAATAAGAGAACAGAGACACATGAGTGTCTGACCAAGACTTTCTCCATGATGGCATCAGGCCACCTGGAAATAGATTGATGCTGGGAATGTTTTTGGGAAGAATGGGCAGTAACCTGGGAGGTATTGTGGAGAAAATCAGGATGATGTCAGGCAGAGTGGCATGAAGCATGCATGAGAGCAGAGCACTGTGGGAAGGAAAGACCATTGTTCCCAGTGCTTTTTGTTAGGGGAAACTGAGGCAGGAGCAGGTGTCTTTTGGCGATTACAATCATAGAGGGTGCCAGAGCTAGGCCCATGTCTTAACCCTGCCTCAACCATTTGGGGAGACCTGTTGTTCAGAGCATGCCTTCCGTGGGCACAGACGTCAGCCTGGGAGCCAGAGCCGCTGGTGAATGAGCTGATTATACCCCTCACTCTGGGTGGAGCGCCTGGGACCAGTCAGTGAGGGTAGAGCAGGGTGGGGTGGTATCGTTTACTCTACGCCTTTATTTCTTAGGGAGGAAAGGGAAAATATCTCAGCTTGTCCAACCTGCATGAGATGTGAGAAGGGTCATTGGGGCGTGTAATTTTCTTTGAGACAAATAGATGAAAGAAAGAATGAACAGCTTGAACACTGGAAATATATCTGTATACTTAGGCTACAACCCTGCTTTTCCAGTGACACAGATCCTTTTTCCTGATGCTCTTATTTTGGCTCCCAAATACTGTATTTTGCCACATATGATGTACACCTATGTTTTTGTCCCATACTTTCAGGAAAAAAAAAATCATTTTAATTTTTTAATTAAATTTTTAAAATTTATTTATAACTTAGAAACAAGCCAGTTATTGTATTCCAGAGTATAATTTTACATTCAGATATTGTTACTGCTTTCTAGAGTTACACTTTTAACATATAAGCATAAATAAAAGAATTAAAAACATTTATACAAGTATGGAATTAGTACTACTGATGTACAGTGTGCATCCTTATATTTCCTTCAAAAATTTTGGCAGAAGTGTGCATTCTACACGGCAAAATATGGTAGGCTGTAGAGCCATGTTCCACTTCTCCTTGTCCACTTAGTTTCTCTTGGTTTCTATGACACTGTGCTCCCGTCGTTCTCCTCCCGCCTCCATGTTTGCACCATGCGCTGGCTCCTCATTAGCTCAGTCCCTATGGCTGCAGCGCTCTGGGGCTCCAGCCTGGCCCTTCCCTTCTCCATCCTCACACCCTCCCTAGGTGAGTTTAATGCCATCTACATGCAAATAGTACTGAACATTTATATCTTCCACTTGGACCTCTCCTCAGAAGTGAGATTCATATTTTCACCTGCCTCCTTGGCATCACTATATGGATATCTAGTCTCAAACTTAACAAAACCTTATTCTTTCCCTCCTTTCTTCCCCAATCTTCTTCTGAGTCAATGGCAAAAGCATCCATCCAATTGCTCAACACAAACATCTAGGACTCGTCTTTGATTCTTTCTTTTATACACCACCCCCAATCTTTCCAGAAGTAGCGTCTACCTCCAAATCCTACAATAAAACCTTCATTTTCTCTCAGTTTCTGTATTCCTGCTGGGTCCCTATTACTCCATACCCTCTTGCCTGGGCCACTACAGTGTCCTGGTCCCCTGTTTCTATTCTTGTCCCCTTCAACCCATTCCCCACCCAACAGCCAGAGTGATTCTTTAAAACCATAGTTAGATCTTATTACAGAATGGCTTCCCGTCACACCCAGAGAAAAATCTGGGTCCCTGCCCTGGCTTATGAGGAACTGCATGATGTCCCCCAGGGCCTCTCTCCTCCCAGCGGGTTCCATGCACACTGACCTTTTAGTGCCTCTAGCACGCCAGGCTTGGCACTTCCTCTTCCCTCTGTCTGGAATGCACTCTTCTGTGATCCAAATTGTGGTATTAGATTCAGCTTAAACATCACCTCTTCAGAGCCACCACTCTGACCACTTCGAGGAACCACTAGTCACTCTGGGTCCTGTTATCCTCTACTAGTTCTCTACATAGCACTGATCTTTCTTTATCTGTACTCTTCCTGGTATTTGTTTGTTTACTTATTATTTTGTCAATATTTTCCCTACTAGGTCATGATCTTCCTGAGACCAGAGATCTCATCTCTCTTCTTCACTACCTGTCCCTTACCATGCCTGGCATATAATAGGGTCTCAGTAAATGTTTACAAAATGAATGAGTAGAAAGAAATGCTAAGCACTGAGACATAAAACTCTAATAATTTTACTTTATGTAAGTACCAAGGGAGACTCCCAAGAGACAAAATAATAATAATAATGTGGATGTGAAGAATCTCCCTGTAATGAAAATCTTGCAGGTTTGAATGAAAATTCTGTGGCGTTCAATGCATATAGCAAATTCTACATGAAACATTTTTCAATTATTATATCCTCACTGGATGTCAAAGGTTTCCTTCACTTAAGAAGACAGTGACATTCTAGTTTGGCATAAGATATATTCAGTTGGTCCTGAAAAAAGGCTGGTTGAGCTGGATTGCAGGGTAGTGTAGTTAACAGAATGTGACTCAGCTCTTCCATTTACCATGTGTGTCTTTGCATAAATCTCTTATCTCTTGACTTGCTTCCTTCTCTGTTCAGTGAAGGGAATGAAGGGTGAGAAGTTGCTTTTGGCTCTAATAGTCACTATTCTTTGAAGGGAGTTTCCTACTAATAACTAACATTGGTTAACTACCCAGTATAGACCAGGTATAATGTTAAGAGTTTTATGTGAATCATCTCTTTGAATCCTCGCCACAACTGTAGAGGTAAGTGCTAGGATGAGGGAATCTATGGCTCAGGTGCTTGGTAATGTGCCCAGGGTCACAGCTGGTAATTGGTGGCACTAGGATTTTAGTGCGGTGACTGCTACCCCACACTGCCCATTGACATGGCCTGGTTTCAGCTGAGTCATGTATGGAGTCGGAGAGGGGTTCTGCCCACAGAGATACCCATGTCATCTGTCCCTTTTAGGAGAGAATTGCCAAAAGCCATGGTTCCCAGTGTGGATTCTGCACCCCTGGAATTGTCATGAGCATGTACACGCTGCTCCGGAACCAGCCCGAGCCCACCATTGAGGAGATTGAGGATGCTTTCCAAGGTACGGCTCTCTAGGCACAACCCAGGAGGTGGGATGGCAGATGGGGCCCTGCAAAGGTCAGCGCGGGGCCCAAGCGGAAGCCAGGAATGGGCTAGGAGTCCAAGGCATTGTCCTTTGGAGAAAAAGCTCAGACCACCCCAACATGGTGGCTAAGATCTACGGGAGGGTTGGACCTCCCTTAGTTTGAAGAATACTCAGGTGGGTTGGAAACATCTTGCCTTGATGTTCGTCTTTCTGAGGTGTCTCCCTGCCCTCTCTCTGTACTGGGATGGGGTGGCAGTGGGTGGCTGACTCAGGAGATCATTTGGAAATCCACAGAGGCTAGTGATACTGTTCCCTTCCATCTCAGCCTTCACCAGAACAGGATTCTGCTGGGCAAAGGCCACATCTGAGGAAGGCAGCCATGATTATGAGCTGTGGGCAGGGACGGCTGCTCACTTTCCCTCTGGGTATGGGTCTAGGAGTCTGGATCAGGCGTCTGTTTCTCTGAATTGAATAGAGAAGGCTCCTCATCCATTCACCATTTCAGCCCATCATTTATTCAATCATATTGTATTGAGTCCTATCATATGTCAGACACTATACAGGGAACAAGGGACACAGAGATGAAAGATACAATCCTTACTCCAAGGAGTTCAGCCTTTAAAGGGGAAGAGAGTTTATAATGTAGTTTGATAATTTCACTCATAAAACTGTGAGTAGGTACCATGGAAGTACTTAGAAGGGCACCTGAATTAGTCTGGGCATTCTAGGAAGGCTAGAGGAAGTGATAGATGTTTTGAAGTTAGAAGTATGAGGAGGAGGGGCATTCCAGAAAGAGAAAACAGAATATGCAGAAGGCATCTAACTGATCCTGGAGCTAAAACTTGAACCACTCACTTGCCTGGGGCCTGTCCTGACTTTGCAACTTCTTCCTACTCCCACAGGAAACCTGTGCCGCTGCACAGGCTACAGACCCATCCTCCAGGGCTTCCGCACCTTTGCCGGGGTAAGTGGCAGCCCCAGGACATCAGTGGCCCTGCCCTTAAAGCAAGGACACTCAGGAATCACAGTTGGGAGGGATGCCAAGGGCCTTTGGATTCCAGAGAAGAGAGATGAGACGGTCACGTAGCAGGTCCTTTCATTGTGGGTGCCTGGCATGGGCAATGAATGCTGCCCTTCTTATTTAGAAAGTTCTCATCAATACCACTGGGACTATTTTTTTCCCCCCAGAAAAAGCCGGGGGAACTGGTTCCTGGAAGAGGCATGGTGCCCAAGAGCTGACTCCCTCCAGGGCATTTAAGCTTGGCAGCCTTCCTTGGAGACTAGCATGCTCAGCATGTGGCACAGGTGCTGAACGCGGCACGTAATAACGACCCACGCAGGCAGACTCAGCACCCACACTCCTCCGCCTTTCCTCTCCTGGCGGCTTTCTGTGGTTGGCGCTCCGCTGGGCTGGTGAAACTGCTGATCAGAACTCCAGTTTGTGAAGCCCTGCAGTGTTCATAGAGCTCTGAGTGCGAAGCCACAGCCAGGAGTGCAGGCATTGCTCATGTGAACACAGGCACAGGGGCCTCTCCTTTCTTGGCTTAATCTCGTCCGATTCTCACCTGATTCTCCCACTGGGTCATGTGGGTCCTGACTGCAGTCAAACCATCTTCTGCCAGTATGATTTGGGCCTGATGGTAGGGCCACAGACTTCTGCGTTTTGCTGACCTGTAGCGTTGGTATAGTGCAAAAAGAGTGTTTCATTCAAACAGTTGAAAAGGGGTGGAGATGCAAATGGGGCTTATAAGGGTGGAAAACACCACGCCCTGATGAGATACGAGGAGGTGGGAATTTAAGTGAAAATGATTGAAAGTTCAGATTCAGAGTCTGCAGATATAGATTCAAATCCCATTTCATCCTTTAACTCATTCATGACCTTGGGCAAATTTTCTTGTTTCTAAAATTGAGAATTATAATAATGCCTACCCTGTAATTGTTGTTGAAAGTACTTCTTGTAAAGCCCTCAGAACAATGCTGGGCATACCTTAAGTATTCAGTAAATGGCAACTATAAACCATGATGCTGGATACATTTCTGCCATGACTCAATATTAGACCTTTATAAATTGTTCATCCTTCCCGGAGAACCAGGAATTGTTAATCATGCCCATGAATTTATTTCACAGGAGGCTTTTCAGAGAGAAACAATTTGACCAGCTCTCCGAGTTTATCAAAAGAGAAGGGCTTTTGAGTGTAGCTGACAATTATGCTCCTTCCCAGGGTTAAACTGTTTCTGTTGGCGGGCGCTAATTCCCTCAGTCCAGCTGCCTGGCAGAATAAGGCAGAGCTGAGAGTGCTGAGCAACCAAAATGACCTGCGCTCAGAAGCTCATGCACATTACCCAAGCCTCTATTCAGAGTCTTTTGACTCTTTTTACACAGTTTTAACAGCCCTGGGTATCTCATTTTCATGCCCGTAGCACATGCTAGAAAAAAGGCGAGGAGAGTGCTAGGGGGAGGCACACTGTTCCCAGCAAAGAAATGACAGTGTCCATGCAGCAGCGAGGAAGGAAATGAAGGAACCATAAAAATAAGCATGTCTTAGCCTACTGAGTAAAGGGGAAATCTCTCCAGGAGGGAAAACCAGTCATATCCAACCTCAGAAGGCCTTGAGGGCAGTGACACATTGTTCATCACAACAGTTTATGTCATGAACACGTCAATGAATGATCAGGAACAGAGAGTTAAGTAAGAACGTGCTGGCACTTCACTTACCTGGAAAATGTACTTCTGTGAAATACATTCTTCCCTCAAGGTCTGGGTTAGTGCGGCTGGTGCCCCTCACTTCCCTTGGGACCTGCTGAATCCCCTGTACCACTCTTCCAAGAAGAAAGATGAGAAGAATCTCTCCTCTCCTTCTTCCTTTCTAGCTAAATAGGAAGGGGAAGGGCAAGGCGATGGTGGAGAGGCCCAGGACAGAGCAGCTCTGAGATCTGACAGCAAAGCCGTGAATGCAGGAGGCGTCTGCATTTGGGGCAGCGTTGGCAGGGGGCTGAGGCAAGGGAAGGTTTTTCTCCCAGTGTCAAGTCTGGCAGCGCTTTCTAGTTCTCAAAGCCCACACCTTTGGCACCACGGCATTCGGAGAGCTTTTTGGAAACTACAGTGGGTTGTGACTCATCCTTTTGGACACGTCTGGATAGAGTGGTGTCTCCTGCGATTCAGTGCAGAAGGGCTGACCCCGGCCTGTCCTTCCAGGAATTGGTCACCCTGGAAATGTGCCTGGCTGTACCTGGAAGTTTTCCCCACTTGTGCCTCTCTGCACAACTCCATGATTCTGGAGTGGCTTCTGAGGTCCTGAGCTGAGATTCTTGCTTTCTTGGGGGCACATCAGTCAGGTGAACACCCCTCTTTCCTGATGCCTTGGCTCTGAGAGGCAGCAAGCTAGATTCTACTCTGTGCTCTGCTAGTGACACCCTGGGCAGGCCCTTTCCCCTTAGGTAATGGGCCATCATACCCGCAGGCTTCCTTCAGAACAGGCCCATAGCGAGGAGGAAAGAGTGTTTAGCGTTCTGGTGAGAAGCGTCTAAGAAGCAGGGGCGAGGCCATCAGGCACTCTTGCTGGACACATCTCCGAACCCAGCAACCAGCCTTCGGATATTCTTGTCAGGGGCTCCACCAAGACTCCAGCCTGGGAGGTGCCCGGTCAAGAACTTGATTGACCTACAAGAGGGGGCTCTTGAGTGCTGAGAGAACCAAGGGAGTTTCTGTCACAGTGGCTTCCTAAGGAAGCAGCACCGAAGAGGGAAACTGGGCATAAAGATGTGTTTTGATAAAGTAGGAGGACCTATCTCTGTGGAGAAATGTTCTTAACACTAGGTTTTGCTGCTTTGTACAGGAGAGAGCTTATTTGTTTATTCACAAGCTATTTAGTCTACATTAACCAAGCAAGAGAAAGTAGTTAAAGCAGAGGCCTTACCTCTGTGCCAAGGCAAGTGGCAGGGTATCTACTAATACTATTGATGTGGGAATAAGTGTCAGAGCTGGATTTCACTGGACTTCAATAATGTAGGTTCTTCCACTTCTGTGAAAACTCTTTGCACATATTTTTCGTGTGAACATTGGTCGTTTCTCTAGGATGGTGGGTGCTGTGGAGGAAATGCGGACAACCCAAACTGCTGCATGAACCAGAAGAAAGAGCTCACAGTAAGTGGGCCCTTCTCGTCCTGGAATCCTGGGGGCCAATATCAGATCAAAGGAGCCAGCCAGCAGGCTCTCTCCACACTCTTGGCAGTGGTGGCTGGGAGAGGAAACAGTCATGCCCAGATTTAAGAGGGTGGTGAATGTGCACTTTAGCCCTGGGTTGTCCGGTAAGACCTCCTGTTCCTGCCTTCCAGGAGTGACCTGCCCCTCCACCTGCCTGCTGTGGTCTGCAAATGGGCTTGCTTGGACAAAGGGCTGGGTCGGTCCTAGGGGGCATTTTAAAAGAGGAGGCACTGTACCACACATCTGTCTCCTTTCCCAGCAGGTCACTCTCTCGCCATCTTTATTTAACCCAGAGGAGTTCATGCCCTTGGATCCCACCCAGGAGCCCATCTTTCCCCCAGAGTTGCTGGTAGGTGATACGCCAGGGGAAGGCCCATCCAAGACTCTGTGTCATGAGCCTGTGGAGGCCCACTTTATTTTATAACCCCTGGGAACTTGTATTCTTCTTGTCTTTTCAGTCTCAGCTTGAATCTGCCTTCCTTTCTCTGACACTCAGGGGTCAAGTCCCTCTGTCACGGACTCCCACAGGGACCCACATCTCTTTCCTTCTCATCTGTGTCACTCTGAGGACACGAAATGGATCTCTCTGGCACACTGTGTATAGTAACGTGCTTTAGATACGTCTCCTGGCCTCCTGGCTAAATCCAATGCATAGACCCCCCAAGCAACCCATTTCCTCTCTGTAAGCAGTCATTGATTAAATATAAACAAACAAGCAAGCAAGCAAACAGAGCTGTATTCCGAGGGCATAATCCATGGCCTGTAGCTCTGTTTGAAGGACACCTCTCACACCCACTTCCTTACCTTGAAGATTCTGCTCCTTCATTCCACTGTTTATGGTGAGGAAGAAGCACGCCACCCTCAGAGCTCCTCAAGAGCAGATATCTCCCCGGGTGGCTGAGCACAGGGGGACTGCCATAGGAGTCTGGCGGGCCAGAGAGAAGGGCAGCACAGCAGATCACCAGAATGTCTTTCTCTGCATTGTGCAGCCTTGAAAAACCATCCGTTTGATTTTGAGTTTTCTTTCCCAGCATCACCTCTCACACATTAGAACCAGCCATCCGTTGCGTTCCCTCTGACAGCCATTTCTTTGCTGATACTCCCCCACACCTTGCCCACTGTACCTCCTGGAGACAGTGGGGACAGTGCAGGTTGCCTTGTGCCTAGTGACTTTTGGCAGGTCACATAACTTCCCTGGTCCTCGGGTTCCTCCTCTACTTGTAAGAGGGAGGGCTCGCGATGCTTCCTTTGCCGAGTCTTCTAAAAACTCAGTAAGATAATGTATATAAGAGCTGCAACCTAATTCCTGGCTCAGTACAATGCAGTTCCTGTCAATTCTCCCTGATACGTATTTTCATTCTGAATTCAGTAACAAACAAATCAATAGAAGAGTTGGTCCCATTGTGGAGTGAAAGCAAGGGCAGTGGGCATGGCCGTGGGGAGAAGGAGATAGCTCAGTAAGAAAGTGATATTTTCCAGAGGCTGAAGGATGCTCCTCTGAAGCAGCTGCGCTTTGAAGGGGAACGTGTGACCTGGATCCAGGCCTCGACCCTGAAGGAGCTGCTGGACCTCAAAGCACAGCACCCTGAGGCCAAGCTGGTGGTGGGGAACACGGAGATCGGTAAGGGGTGGCCCTGGCGCTGCCTGGGGCCAGAGGCGCACTGAGGAACCGTGGGCACTTGAACTTCTGCAAAACCCTAGCTTTGGAGTCACACAGACCTGATTCAACCCCACGCTGGCTGTATTTCCTCAGAAAAATGACCCCTCTTCCCTGCTCTCGTTTTCCCATTTCATGTATGGGCAAGTAATACCTCCTTCGAGGGTTATTCTGAGCATTAACTGAGATCCTTGATGACTGTTCTCCACAAACATTTACAGAGTGCCAGCTCCGTGCCGGGTACTCTGGCGGTGGCTGAGGAGCCAAAGTCAGTTGGACCCAGCTGTTTTCCTCACGGATCTCCTAGTCTGAGGCAGGAGGGAGTGATGTCGCTAAAATGTCCAGGCCAGGGCCTGATGGGTGCCCCTCTCAGCCTTTTCTGGGGCCGCTGTGGTAAGATAAAGGAGAGGAGATGTCCAAGTGTGACTGTGTTGCCTATGACCATGGCCACCTGCCCTGTTGGTACCACCACCTGGGACCTGAGGCCCACCATGTGCCAACAGGTCAGGGAGACTCGGGTGTGTGGCTCTCAGTCCTGGTACTTGAAGAGACAAGGGCAGGGGCGCCCAGGTCCCTGATCATCTCAGCCCATTTCTAAGCCTGGCTTGGCCCATTGCCAGCGCGCTGGGTCCCAAGGCTGGTGAGGACTGCAAGAGAAGATCATGGCTCAGCTGAGGTCAACCACTGAGGCCCTCTGGCTTGGGGGTTTTTGACATGCCTTTAGGCAGCCAGGTCCAGCCTGTGGGGAGTCCTGGCTCTTGTTCTAGGAGGACCCTGAGTTTGGGCTGGATCTGCAGCCACAGAGAAGAGGGCTTGGCTTGGTTCCATGCTGGTGGAGCGCAGAGCTGGCCATGCCCTCATGAGCACAGTGTGTGGTACAGAGTCCCCAGCCACAGTTGGTGACACACTGGGATGGCAGGGTGGCCTGTGCGACCTGCCTCAAGGGATGTGATCCTCTGGCCCTGGTCCAGCATAGCATGAGTTAAAGTGGAGAATGACACACTGAAAGAATCTTCGAGATCCTTTGACATATGACAGGTTCCTTGCCATGAATCATACAATGTTCTGGACCAAATTATACGCTAAGAGACAGGAATTCCCAAAGACTGTATAAACTTCAAATTAGAAGTAGCTTCTTAAGGTCACTCCATCTGCTCCACCCCCTCCTCCCTTGAACCCCCATCCAACAGGGTAGCCCCCCGGAGCTGGGGCAGGGTGTTGGGGAAGCTGGCTGTGGAGAGAAACTTGTCCGTCTGCGTTCTTTGTCCTGGGAGCTGATTATTCAGGCAGGCCAGACTCCTCAAAGCCTGGCCCACCGGTCATGATTCCTAAACAGCGTGTGAGAGGATGTGGGGTGATGTGCAGTCATGTCTCCTGTAACCTTGCCCCTCTGTGGCCCTGTGGGCAGGGCTGGGACAGGCGCTATGTCACCGAGTCTGAGGAACAGGGGCAAGTCTGTTCCTAGACATTTCTACCTTGATGAGCAGATTTAAAGTTTTTTCTTTCAATTTCCCTTTTTGTCTGAACGTTAGACTTTTGTGTTATTATTGCTGTTATACCCTGATTCTTAGAATAGCTCAAGGACTGAGACATGCCTGTTCTTAGCTGTGTAATTTGGGCAAGAAGCTGAACCTCCCTGTGCTTCAGTTTCTTCATCAATAAACAGAAAATCACAGTATCTCCCAGGGCTGCTGTGAGGAGTAGATGCATATGTAGCACTTAGCAGAGTTACTGATATATCTTAATCTCCCATGTTTTCTAATATTTATTTTTATTTTTTTCCATCACCATTTATTCCTCCTATACCCTCTTCTACTTCCACCCACCCCCCTTGCCCCCACAATCACATTTGTTCGTGTCCATGAGTTCTTTCTAATATCGTTATAAAACACATACACAGGCCTCTAACTTCAGGCTTCCCATTTCTCTTGAGGCATTGAGATGAAGTTTAAGAACAGGCTGTTTCCTGTGATCGTCTGCCCAGCCTGGATCCCTGAGCTGAATTTAGTGGAGCACGGACCAGAGGGTAAGGGGAGGTTCACCTGAGCCCCCAGAGGAGCTGGGATGCTGGGGATGGTCCCACAGGGGGATGGTGGGTTCAAGGACACCCTCCCCCTTGGCTCTCACTATCACCTCCTTGTCCTGGAGTTGCCTTGCACAGGGGAAGGGGCACCCTTCGCCGCCTTCCTCCATATGGCATCCATGGTAGGGTGCCAGTGAGCAAGGGCTGTGAAAGTTTTAATAGTTGCTCTTAACCCTGGCTACACATTAGAATTGCTCATGGGGTTAGCGGTCAGGTGGCGGGGGAGTGCCTAGAAGCTTTAAAAAAAAAAAATGTCAGGACTTTACCTTCAGAAACCTGATTTTGTTGAGAACCATTGGTTTGGGGGAGAGAGTACTCTGGTTGTTGGACGAGAGGCCTGGGGTTGAGTCCTGGATATTTTATGAGCTGTGTGGCATTGGGCCAGTCATGTGAGCTCTCTGGGCCTTCCTTTCCTCATTCATATAAGGATGTGAATCCTGGTTCAGCCTCATTCAGGCTGCTGGGAAGCTTCAGAGCTTCTGTGTAGGAAAGTGTTTTCTGAGCTGGGAAGGGGATCGCTATTATTCTGTGTGTGTGTTCCCAGGTATCTCCTTTGGAGCTGCTTGCCCCCTGAATACTGTGGAAAAGACCCTGAAAGATGCTATTGCTGAGCTTCCTTATTACAAAACAGAGGTGTTCAGAGGTGTCCTGGAGCAGCTGCGCTGGTTTGCTGGGAAGCAGGTCAAGTCTGTGGCGGTGAGTCCCTGATCAGGGGCCCATAAGGCCCAGAGGACGGGATTTTTCACCACAAGACTGGTCTCCCTCTGCTGCAGACTCTGGGGCCCTTGAACTTTAGTGCTTAGAACTGCCTGGGGTGTTTGTTAAAGATACAGGTGCCTGGGCCCTGCCCTCAGATGTTCTGGCCCAGAAGGACTGGGGTGAAGCCCCACAGGTGCTTCCGATGAAGGTGGTGTGTGGGCCACTCCAGGTCATGCTCACTCTGTGACTGTCTTTTCCCTGAGCTTAGAGAGGTGGAGTCTCCTGTTCCCTCTTCCTGAACTTGGCCCAGCCTCTCAGCAGGTGGATGAGAGAAGTTACAGAGAAGCCCAAACAGGGAGAGGCTCTGTGTTTTAGAGCCAGGGGTAGAGCCAGAGGTAGGCCCACCTGAGAGGAGGGAGGGGTCCACGTGTTTACTGTCACAGTCAGCCTGCAGACTAGCCCCCAAATGCCCAGTTGGCAGGGGGCATTCACACACCTGGTGCCGTTTGAGGCTCATGGCTGTTGGTGGTGTTGGGATGAAAGCTAGTCATTCCATTCTATTTTTTTCTATTTTTTAAAAATTAAAACAAAAAACAATGCAAAACAGCCTATTCCTATTTACCATACCCTACTCCCAGCACCTGCCACTTCTGGCTGTAGATGAGGAGATATAAACTCAGAAATCTCTATTGCGTTCACAGCTAGGCTGCAGTCTGTTTCCAGGAAGGATCTGGTTTTGTTTTGCAACTGGTTCTCTTCTTCTTTTCCAATAATGAGAACCTTGTGTCTAGTGAAAAGAAGAACCTTGTGTCTAGTTCTTGTATTCTTTGCCAAATTGCCAGGAAACTCAGGTCCAGTTAAAACAAAGTATTTATCCTTAAAGCTTCCTCCTCTTTTTCCTTAATCTTTATCTTCTGTTTCTGATTTACCAACTCTATATGGCCTCTGAGATAAACCATTTTAATCGTTTCAGAAAAAGGTTGGGTGAAATTAAACAAACACACTTCAAGGTGCTGACTCTGGTTTACCGACCTGTGAATTTCAGACCAGCGCCCTAATCCCAAGTGTTTGGATCTCATGTTTTGCCCATTGTTTTGAGTGCTGGCTTTCTCACTGTGCTGGTCTTGTGTCTATGGGGACTGGAGGTCAGGTGTCTCTTCAGCAGGTGTCACCCTTCTGTCCTGTGTTCAGGAGTCAGCTGGGTGAACAAGAGGTTCCTGGGTGGGCCCTCATGCACACTCTCTGCTTGTCCTAGTCCATTGGAGGGAACATCATCACTGCCAGCCCCATCTCTGACCTCAACCCGGTGTTCATGGCCAGCGGGGCCAAGCTGACCATCGTGTCCACAGGTGAGCTGCCCCATGCAGAGGGCCCTGGGGAAGGACGTCTCACAAGAGAGGTTATTTTCTGGAGAAACAGAGTCCAAAGTTCAGTGACCCAGCTGTCCTACAGCTTGGATTCCTGGAAGCTGCAAGGGATCACCTATGTTAGGAGCCAGGAGAGCTGGGCCATTTCTTTATTAGGAAGTCACAACAGGCTCTGTCACCAGATGCCTTACCTAGTGGTGTGCAGGAGCCAGAATGCACCGGCCCAGCATAGCTGATTGCTGCATTTTCAGCATTTGTTAAACATGGCCATTATTAAGAATTCAGTTATATAAACTAAGGACAAGATAAATGATATTAATAACAAAGGTAATGAATACTCAAAATTTACCACTTTCTAATTATTTTACTTCATTTTACTATTGTCTGTGCTGCTGAGGTTAATTCCATCTATTGTATCTGTGGTGGAAATGCTATCTAATGGTGGGCTCCTGTGCATTTTTCCTTGTTAGAGGGTCCCCAGCACTTTCTCCTGGCTGGATGACTTGCCAGAGGGCCACAGGCTCAGCATACAGTCGTACCCACGGCCACGACTTACTGCAGAGGGAGGACACAAAACAAAATCAGCAAAGGGAAATGGCACATGGAGCAAAGCCTGGAGGAAACCAGGCACAAGCTTCCAGAGCCTTCTCCCAATGCGCTCCACTCCCCCAGCAGCAAGTTGACTCAACAGCACATAAAGAGCATAGTCTACCAGAGAAGCATGTTAGAGCTTAAGCACTGAAAGCTTTAATTGGGGGCTGGTCACATAGCTTCACCTGGCACATACGAAAATCCAGGCACCCAGAAGGAAAGAAGGTGTTCAGCTTCAACCATGTTGTTTTTTCACGGACAGTTTAGGCACAACGAGCCATTGTTATGAGGGAATGGTAGGAACTCCCTAAGACCCAAGCTCCTGGAGGACAGACAATGGCCGGCCTTTCGGAGGATAGCAGGCCTGCTGAGTCAGTGCCGCTACCCTCTTTTCAATGTCACATTCAGCAATGTCACCCTGGTAGCTTGAAATTGGCTATGGTGGGAGCATTTATACCCCAGAAACTAGTGAATCAGTGCTTCTCCTCACAAAGAGCTGATGGTTAAGCATTCACCAGCACAGCATTGCTTAAGGTATGGACCTTAACCTCATGGAGGACCTTGACCCCAATTGTGCCTTCCACTCCCTTTCACTGTGGGCAACAGGGACCAGGATGGAGAAGCCCCCTGGTGGGTGTCCTATGCCGTCTCACATTGGTTCCTCTTCATCTTGTCCCTGCACAGGCACCAGGAGAACTGTTCCGATGGACCACACCTTCTTCCCTGGCTACAGAAAGACCCTGCTAGGTCCGAAGGAGATACTGCTTTCCATCGAGATCCCCTACAGCAGGGAGGTGAGAGGCGATGCCCAAATCACTCCCACAACTGCCAGGCTCCAGACAAGGAGACCAGAGTTGGCCTTGGGACTGACCTTAGCATCTCTCAACTGTAACATTGATCTTCTTATCTCTGAATTTGTCTTTGACTAACTATATTCCTCTCCTGACAATGAGAAGTTTTAGGGTAGGGAGCAAAGGGCATGGACATAAGCTAAAGTTGTGATCCTGAGCCAGTCGTTTCACCTTCTTGAGCCCCAATTTTCTCATCTGTAAAATGGGCACAAGGTTACGTATTGGGCAGTTTATTGTGAGGACTGGAACATCATAAGGTTTCTGGCAGATGCCTGGGAGCCTGTGGCAATCACCAGCTGGCAGGCAGCAACACAGGTTCAACAACACACACAGCTGTTGCGTATTCCTGGCCAGGTCAGGGTAGGCTCAATTTCACATGAAGTGTGGAGTTTGTGTGTCAATGGGGGAAGCCGCCCGTAAGTCAGATCGTCACAGGCTGCTCTTGGGCTTGACGAGGTGTGTATTCACTGACCTTGTTCTGGGTTGGTGTGAGTCAAGAGTTCTGCTTCATGAGCAGGTTTTCCAACTTCTTTCAGGCAGGTCTGGGAGCCTCTGGCTGCCTTGCTCTTGTTCTTGTTGCCTGTGGCAGCTTCCCCTGTTGTGGTTCTTGCCTCTCTCAGCAGCCAGCCATCACATGATCCTGTCTCGCAGAAAAGTGATCTGTGAGAGGCTGGGGAACCAGCTGTGAAGGAGTGTATTAGGGGCTTACCAATAGCTAGTGCTTGAATGAGTGTTACAGGCATGTTTGCTGTTGGTAATTTTAGCCTCCTTAATGAGAATGCTAATTAAATTAGAGCAATTACACCCCTGAGGTGGTTTCTTAGTGGTTTTCTAGCTTGCCTTTATGTAGATGATTTAAGCAGTGATTCCCAGAGTTTTGTATTTCACAGATGAGTAAAAAAATAAATTTAAGTTATGAGGTTGGGCAAGGAAGGAAAAACAAGTATAGTACTGCTCAGTTTTTATTTTGCCAGGCAAGGGACATAAACACAAAATATTTCATAAAAGAAAGGAGATTTGAATACCCAGAAGTAGGAAGATTTTCTCAAGCCCAACACTGACACTTCATGACTGCAGTGAGATGTTGCTGCGGACTGGCTCCCTCCTGGACAGGAGCAGCCCCACCTTCTGTTCCAGGACTGGCTCCCTCCTGGACAGGAGCAGCCCCACCCTCTGTTCCAGGACTGGCTCCCTCCTGGACAGGAGCAGCCCCACCCTCTGTTCCAGGACTGGCTCCCTCCTGGACAGGAGCAGCCCCACCCTCTGTTCCAGGGCCAAGTTCACATTCTGGGCTCATTGCCCCAGGCCCATGTCTGATACCAGGAATAAGAACTAGCTTAATCATCGGCGGGGGGGTCTCTATGGCTTCTTCCAACAAAAGCATGTGGTCATGCTGGACCTTAGCAGTGCATTCATTGGATCATCTCCAAGTTCTCCAATAAAACTTTCCTTAAACTTCCAGCCTTTAACACGAATAAGAATCTGTGGTGCCAGGGTGAGTTCAAATCTCAAGCGGAACCTGACACAGAAAGGGCTTGACATCAGATGGTTCTCGCCTGAAAGTAACTCATGTTTTCTTTCTATTTCCAGAGGCAGAGCCTGGCTTTAACAAAGGAGTGGAGGCTGTATGATCAAAGCACAGAGGCACCTACTGTCTCAGTGCAATTCTTTCTGTCAGGAAGCACGATTTCTAACCATAGCCACTAGACTGGTGGCGGGGACAAGTCAGCTCTGGAGGAGGCTGCAAGCTGAAGGCTGTTTCAAATACTCTTTGGCATTTGGTGTACATACTTGAGAGGCAGTCTGGGCAACAGAGGTTTCAGCACAGCCCCCTTGAGAGGCCAGTGTGCTAATACTGGGCACCAGGACAGGGAAGCTGAGCTGGGCTCTCTGAGGAGACTTTGTGAAAACACCTTTCTCATCTGTTGGTTGAGAGTGCTCCGTTCTTCTTTGTCTCTGACTTCTAGTTTCCTGACTAATAGAAATCCTGACCCTCCCAGATTCTGGGAATGTTATGTGGAATTTCTTCTGAAAATGTGGCAGTCGGTTATACCTCGATCTTTGACGCTTACCATTAGCTCCTTGCTGATTTGCAATGGTGTTATCTCCTCACCTCACCTCAGGACCCTGTGTTTCAGGCTCACCATTTGTAGTCCCTGTAAAACAGGAGAGGAAACAGGTACCTTTCTGTTCTTTTTCAGGGCGAGTTTTTCTCAGCATTTAAACAGGCCTCCCGGAGAGAAGATGACATAGCCAAGGTGACCAGCGGCATGAGAGTCCTGTTCCATCCAGGAACCACCCAGGTAAAGGAGCTGGCCCTTTGCTATGGTGGAATGGCCGACAGAACCATCTCAGCCCTCAAGACCACTCGGAAGCAGCTGTCAAAGTAAGAGCTAATAGCAAAATAAAACTGCTACTACCATGTTACTGCTGCTGCTACTACTACTTTGACTACTCATAGGATTATTATTGCTGCTACTACTGCTACTACTTGCTACTGCTATTACCATGGTTACTACTAGTATATAATTACTGCTACTGCTAGTAGCATTGCTGCTAATAGTGCTGCCACTGCTCTACTATTACCATTGCTACTCTAGCTGCTACTATTGCTACTAGTAGCTAATACTATTATTGCACAGCCACAACTATTATTATTATTGCTACTACTACTGCTGCTTTTACTTCTACTGTTATTCCTAGTAATAGCATGACTGCTGTTGCTGCTACTACTTCTACAACTACTAGTAGTATTACTGATGCTTTTGCTATTATTGTTACTGCTACTGCTTCTTCAACTACCACTATATTACTTCTCTTTCTGCTACTACTATTACTATTGCTTCCTCTAGTACTACTACTAATACTGTATATGCCAGTGCTAGTATTACTACTACCAATGTTGTTGCTGGTACTACTTCTATGGGTATTGCTACTACTGCCCTTACTACTGCTTCTGCTATTACTATGGCTACTATATGGCAGCCATTGTACCAAGCACTTCACTGGCACTACCTTATGTAATCTTTAACTACATGGATAGATGAAGCTTGACTTTGGATTTTGACTCCTTGGTTCCAATTCTTGGCTCCAACCACATGGGTAATATAGTAAGTCAACCCTACCTCAGTTTTCTCACTGGTAAAATGAGTATAAAATTTTTTCCTACTAAAAATGCCATTTCATGTAAAGCACTTAGGACATTGTAAATACTCAGTAGATTTAACTGTTATTTTTGTGGACTTTTAAATTTGTGTCTGTTTTTGAAGATGAGGAAACTGAGGCTCAAGGAGTTTAAGTAACTCACCTAAAGTCACATAACTATGAGTCTGTGAAGCAAATTTCAAGCCAAGGTTCCTATGACTCTGATGCCCTGTGCTTAACGTCCACACAAAACATCCTGAGGTCGGGGAGGAGTGCTGTCTCACACTTGCTCTCTGGCAGTTTCTGGAATGAGAAGCTGCTGCAGGAGGTGTGTGCAGGCCTGGCAGAGGAGCTGCAGCTGTCCCCCGACGCCCCCGGCGGCATGGTGGAGTTCCGGCGCACTCTCACCCTCAGCTTCTTCTTCAAGTTCTACCTGACGGTGCTTCAGAAGCTGGGCAAAGAGGAACCGGAAGATGTGAGTGTAGGGGCCTGGGCCGGGCCCAGACTCTCTGCAGCTTTTTTGGGGGGGATTTGGGAAGCTGCTCTGAGTGAGACAGAGCTGTGGACCACGTGGTGAACTTGCTTCTCTCCTCTGGACGTCAAAGGGCAGAGGAACAAGGAACAGGGTCACAGCCCAGGGAGCCACACAGAGATGGGAGCTAACGGGTGACTGAGAGGCAGAGCACTGGGCTGGGAGTCAGGGACATGGGTTCTTGTCCCAGCTGTGTCATTATCGCATGTGAGAACTTGACCAGGTCACCACTCACTCTAAGTCTCAGTTATAAAATCTGCAAAAGGAGGTGAGAAGACCAGATGGTCCTTCAGCAGGATAGCCGATACAACCATGGTTCTGTAGTTAGAATGGGAATGTAGAGTGGAATGAGGGTCTAAGGCAGGGCTTCTCCAGCCACTGCAAGGATGTGCATTCAGGAGAGGGTGCTGGCTGGTGGGGTCCAGCTCCCCAGATCAGTTCACCAACAAGCAATTATTTTGCACCTTTTATACAGTGAGATTGCATTAGGCACTAGGGGGCAACCCCGTGTGGGAGAGAACATGATCAAGGAAGGCCTGTCCAGTGTGACAACTGCGGGGGCAGGAGAGAAGGCTTCACAGGTGTGGGGACAGCAGAGCAAAATTCCTCTTTTAAAAACATTCATGATACTTATTTTTTCTGAATATAAAGATAATAAGGACTTGCTGTAGAAAACTTAAAAAAAATACAGAATTGTATAAAGAAAAAATTATTCTCAGATCCTAGAAAAAAAACACTGCTAATACTTGTTTATTCCTCTGAACTTTTTCTTACATTTATCTGTCCTTCTGTCTCATTCTGTTTGTCTGCTCTATCTCTCTGTCCTTCCTTCCATCCATCTATCACCTTACTATCTTTTGAGCTGGATATATAGTTTTCTAAATAAATTTGGGGTCCTGCTGCATGTAGAATTTTATTTCCCCCTTGATTCCTTTGAGATTATTGTGAACATTTCCTATATCGTTAACTGTATTTTGCATAGAATTGAGGAGGAAAGGGGAGACTTTTCCAGGAAGGTGGAAGGAGAAGGATAGCCCAACCTAGAGGGCAGCATGCTAAATGCAGAGCACAGGAAGCCGTTTGCTGTGTAGGAGGAAGAATGAGCCCCTCGTTATGCAGACGGCAGGGGCAGCGGCAGAGAGGCTGAGGCTGGGATTAAATACTGAGCTCGCAGAGACCACGCTCAGATGATAAGGTAGATCCAGACAGCCCTGGAAGGAGTGTAAAATGAGATGAAGGGAACAGTTGTTACTTTTACTGGTTGGGGATGACCAAGGTCAGAATCAATGATAAAAATAGTCAAGATCACCTCTGTTCTCTTGCCTCCACAGAAGTGTGGTAAACTGGACCCCACCTTTGCCAGTGCCACCTTACTCTTCCAGAAGGACCCTCCGGCCAATGTCCAGCTCTTCCAGGTAAGTATAGACGGTTGTATGGCTAATATCAGGAGCCCTTGCCAACCACATCAGGTGATGCTGACATTGGCAAATGACTTACTTGAATTGTTCGTAGGGTGCTTAAAGCTCCTTACTGTTGTGCATAAGTACCTAGTGAAGAAAATGGGAATTACATTAATGTCAATCAATCTATTTGCCTGCTTACTCACTTAAGTTTCTCTCTTGGGATTACACTTGTCTTCAGCTGCTCTTTAAAGAAAAAAAAATTTGTTTCTATTTTGTCTGTTCTTACTCCTCTGTGGGACTAATGTGCAGAGTCAAGATTTCTCTTGAGCATGTAAACAAACAAAACAAAACAAAACCCAACTTTCTATCCACAGAAATTTTTTGAGAGGCACTAGGTAAAGGGTCAGTTTTTCCTATAAACATTTTGGATTTTGTGGGCCTTATAGCCTCTGTTGCACCTCCTTAGCTCTGTCATTGTAGCACAAAAACGGTCAGAGGCAAGTATTGTGTTCCAGTAAAGTTTTAATTATAAAAACAGGCAGTGGATTAGATTTGACTCACAGGCTACCATCTGTTAACCCGTGCACTGGAAGGGAGTAGTTCAGTGCATGAACTCTGGGGCCTGACTATCTGGATCTTGAATCCATTTCATAGCTGTGTAAGCTTGGACAAGTTCCATAACTTCTCTGTGCCTCTTGGGCAAGTTCATTATGCTCATAATGTGGATAATGATGGCACCTGTTTTATAGGGTCGTTTTCAGGTTTAAATGTGTTAGTAAAAGTTGTTCCTGGAATATAGTAAACATTCAATAAATATTAGCCATTATTATTATTTGAAAAACACATAAAACAGAATTTTACTATGAAATGAATACATTAGAATATTTTGAAAAATACAGAAAAGTATAAAGAAGAAAATAGAAATCACCTAAAATCCCACCTCCAAGAGAAAAATCATTATTATATTTTTGTTTACTTTCCATTTTTATGCATGTATGGACACATATGTACTGTATAACACATTTTCTTTTTTGCTATGAAATTCAAATCATTTTTACGTACACACATGCACAATGTTTTATGTCCTGTTTTTACACTTAATATGAGCCTTCTCCCTTCTAAATTAAAATTCTTCAAAGATATGTTTTAGCAGTTGCGTACTCTCCCATTGCATGCTAATAACATAATTTATTTACCCAGTCCCCAGTGAATGGACATTTAGGTTTCTTTTTTGTGTTTTTCTGTCCCTGTATGTGGTGACCCTATGACCACCTTCCCATTGACCTCCTTCGTGCCTCTCTGTCTCACCCACCTGTTCCCCTCCCCCTTCCCCCCCATTCTCATGCCTGTGGTTTGCTCTGCACCTGGCCTGCAACTCTGGGGTTTCCCTGGGCCTGTAGGAGAGCAGTGTCCTCCGCCACTCAGCCTGACTGGTGACCACGTTCTTCCAGGAGGTGCCCAAGTGTCAGTCTGAGGAGGACACGGTGGGCCGGCCCCTGCCTCATCTGGCTGCGGCCATGCAGGCCTCCGGCGAGGCCGTGTACTGTGATGACATCCCTCGCTATGAGAACGAGCTGTCCCTCCGGCTGGTCACCAGCACCCGGGCCCACGCCAAGATCAAGTGAGTGTAGTAAATACACTTAGAGAAGAGGATGCTGGGGCTGCCCTGCCAGGCACTGGAGCTGCACCCCTTCTGGTCTACAGGGGAAAATGGGGCTCATCTTAAAACTATAGAGAGAAGAGGGAGAGGTTAGGGGCTCAGGGGTGCTTGGGAGGGTGAGGGGATGACTTGCAGAGGTAAGCGGGGGCCAGATCAGCAAAGCCTTGGAGTGCTGAATGGGGAGGTTACACTTGACCCAAAAAGCAACGGAGAGCTGCTGAAAGGCCCTTAACAGGACCAGGTTAGATCTGCACTTCGGACATTGGGCTAAACTTCAGTGCAGAGTTTCAGAACAATTGTAGTTAGCACAAAAGGGGAGAACCTGGGATTGAATCCCTAGCTCCAGGGCTTAGCCGCTGTGACCTTAGCCTGCGTGCTTCAGCTCTAGGTTTCCCCATGTGTGACAGGATTTTTTTGTGAGGGTTAGTAATACTTTTTGTTAGGGATCATGTCCACAAAGGACCCAGCAGAGACTAGTCACTTGTACCTGCTTATGGAAGTTGGAGAACCTGAATGGCAAGAATGCCACCTCTATAGCAGCAGTAGTAGTAGTGGTAGTAGTAGTAGTAGTAACACCTAACATTTACGTGAAACTTAACATTTGCCACATTCTGGTTTTAAGCAGTTTTTGTATATTGACTCACTCATTCCTCACAATAACCCTATTATTATCTCCATGTTCCAGAAGAGGCGGCTGAGGTACAGACAAGCTAAGTTACTTGCCCCAGGTCACACAGTTGGTTAAGTGGTGCAGCCGGAATTTGAAGCCAGGCAGCGTCAGCAACCCGGCTGTGCTTCCTCTGGCTGTTCAGGCCAGACCGTGGACTTTATTTCCTGCCTGCTGGGCACTGGATACACATCCTGCTCAGAAGAATGGCTGGGAAGGACCCTCCTTGGGCCCTGACACTGTACGGATCAGGGATCGGGTCTTCTTGTCCTTGGTCTTTCCTCTGCTGATACTCCTAGCCTGGACAAAGGCTCTGGGAATGGTGAAACACTTCCAGGTCCCTGAAAAAAATGTTTGACTAAGAAAAAACGGTTGCTAACTACCGGGTAAATTTATTTGTCTTTGTCCTTGTCTTGAGTTCATATTGATAGTGCCATGACACACAGAGGCTACACTCAACCAGCTTTGCTCCATCCTGGCGATGTCTGAGTGGATGTGGGAGCTGGGGCCGGGGTGGGGGCTGTGTAATAACTGCAGCGATCAGGGCGCTCCTTGCGTGGGCACTTGGAAGGGAGAGTGATGGAGAGCAGCAGCGGGTCTGATTTCGGCACTCTTCGTAGCTTAACCTCACTCCTGACCCCGGCTCTGCGGCTCTCTGGCTGGGTGACTTTGGACAAGTTCTTTAGCCTTCTTGAGCTTGAGTTTCCCCAAATGTAAAGTGGGGGTAACGACAATAACTTTCTGGGGATCTGGTGAGGATTACCTGTTTGAAAGTTGGTTGGTCCTTCAGAGCGGTTCCTGTAACTTTCTCTACGTGCCTCTGCTCTGTTTCCTCACGTGGCCATGGGCCAGAGTGAGGGGGACTTCGTTCCGACTGTTACAGTTGATGAATTCTCTGGGCCTTCTCCGTTTGAGGTCTGAATTGTCTAATTGCAGCCAGGGTGCCCCGCCATTCTGGAATTGCTCTGCGAATGTGGTGAGAGAAATTTGTGTGACCTTGTTCAGGTGCATTGGATGAGCGGTACAGTAAGGGCCCTAATGTGCTGATTCTGGATGGGCATTAGTTGTGAGGTGGGTTTTAGCCAGCATTTAGACTGCTGTAGATCAGGGTTTGGTTAGTATTAGGTGCATGAGTGCAGGCCTGTCCTATTCATCTTATCTCCCCAGCAGGACTCAGAACAGCGGCCTTCACGTGGTGAGCATTTAATCAACACTTGCAGAATAGAATCGAATAGGATAGAGTAGAATAGAATGTAGAGGAGAGAGAAATCAGTGTGGAGGGAAAACTCAAAATGAGGGCAGGGTTACCCAGCTGGGCAACAAGTCTGACACCTAGTTTCCCTGCCTGACCCCTCACACTGCTCATTCTTGCAGGTCCATAGATACCTCAGAAGCTCAGAAGGTGCCAGGGTTTGTTTGCTTTATCTCCGCCGATGATATTCCTGGGAGTAACCAAACTGGAATTCAGAATGATGAAACCGTCTTTGCAAAGGAGGAGGTATGTTTTGGATTTTTAAAAATATAAAGTTAGTGGAGTGAGTATTGACGTTTTAATTTGTATGCATTCCTCCAAATCCCTCACATTGAAAAGATTGTACATTTGCACATGTTGCCATCAACTAATTGGCCACCATTCAGGACAGTCAGTAAGGGATAGAATAGAATATGCTTGGTAGCACTTTTAATTTTAACTTGATGCTTACTTTTTAATTTAATTGATGGCTGCTGTTTGTACATAGTAAGATGACTCCATGCCAAAGTGGCATTTAAAAAAGGCTGGTGATTGTATTTGAACTAACAATCAGGTTTTTTAGGGTACAATATTAAGTTCCTTTACTAAAAGAAAATAAAAATATATTAAATAAACTGACCATATAGAAATCGCAATACCATCACTATGTGGGTATTGATAATTCAATTATTTGAAAATCCATCTATTGATTTCAACTGTATATGGAGTTCTGCCAAAAAAAAAAACAAGTTTCCAAGCATTCAAGACAGCTGCTACAAAATCCATACACTTATAGAGTAGTTCTCAGGCAGTCACTTTATAATTCCAATACAGATCCAATGTTGCAAATTAGAAGTGGGTTGTTATTGCCGAAGGGCAAATTCATCTTATTATTGCTATGAAAGTGAAGAAACAAATGAAAAACTATAGACCCGAGACACAAAGACTCCAAAAGGAGAGCATGTAATAGAAAAACAAATTGCTTTACAAACTTCAAGAGCCCCCAGGAGCACTGCTAGGATTATGGTTAGTGAGAATCATTCAGGTTCGACAACCGTCGCACTAGCCAATTAAGTCAATAACAGGGTCCTCAAGAAATAATGATCAGAGACAGGCATGCTAAGTGTTGGTTCTTTTTGTCAGGAACCTCATATTCCAAAGTGATGATGTGGACAATTTTTTGTTGTTTAGTTTTTGGTGTATGTTGGAAGAAAATTATCTCTGAAGGAGATTTATTACACTTTTATAGGAACTTAACTTTTATTTTTTAAAATATATTTTATTGATTATGCTCTAACAGTTGTCCCAGTTTTTCCCCCTTTGCCCCCCTCTATTGCAGTACTCCCATTCCCCCCAGCAATCGCCCACCTTAGTTCATGTTTGTGAGTCATGCTTATAAGTTCTTTGGCTACGCTTATTTTCTATACTATTAACATCCCCCTGTCTGTTTTGTACCTTACCAATTACGCTTAATCCCTGCACATTTTCCCCCATTCTCCCCTTCTCCCTCCCAGCTGATAACCCTCCAAATGATCTCCAATAGCTATGTTTCTGTTCCTGTTCTTGTTTGTTTAGTTTGTTTTTTTTTTAGATTTAGTTGTTGATACTTGCGAATTTGTTGCCTTTTTAATGTTTATAGTTTTGATCTTTTTCTTTTTCTTAAATAAGTTCCTTTAACATTTCATGTAATAATGTCTTGGTGATGATGAACTCCTTCAGCTTTACCTTGTCTGGGAAGCATTTTATCTGCCCTTCAATTCTAAACGATAGCTTTGCTGGATAGAGTAATCTAGGTTGTAGGTCCTTGCTTTTCATCACTTTGAATACTTCTTGTCAGTTCCTTCTAGCCAGCAAAGTTTCTTTTGAGAGTCAGCTGACAGTCTTATGGGAACTCCTTTGTAAGTAATTCTCTTCTTTTCTTGTGCTGCTTTTAAGACTCTCTTTATCTTTAACTTTGGGCATTTTAATCATGATGTGTCTTGGTGTCGTCCTCTTTGGGTCCAGCTTATTTGGGACACTCTGTGCTTCCTGGATTTGTATGTTTCTTTCCTTTGCCAAATTAGGGAAATTATCTTTCATTATTTTTTTCAAATAAATTTCCACTTTCTTGCTCTTCCTCTTCTACATCTGGAATCCCTATGATTTGGATGTTGGTACATTTGGAGATATCCTAGAGGCATGTTAAACTATCCTTGTTTTTTTTTTTTTTTTTTTTTAACTCTTGTTTCCTCTTTTTGTTCTGGTTGAATGCTTATTTATTCCTTATGTTCCAAATCATCGATTTAAATCCTGGCTTTATCCTTTCCACTCTTGGTTCCCTGTAGATTTTTCTTTATTTCACTTAGTATAACCTTCATTTCTTCCTGGGTCTTTTTTATTTTGTCGCTGTACTCAATGAGTTCTTTGAGCATTCTAACCACCGGTGTTTTTAACTGTTCATCTGATAGGTTGGTTATCTTCATTTCGTTTAGTTCTTTTTCTGGTGTTCTGTTCTTTCATTTGGGCCATATTTTTTTGTCTTCTCAATTTGGCGGCCTCCTTGTGTTTGTGTCTGTGTATGAGGTAGACCTGCTTTGACTCCCTGTCTTAGTAGCATGGCCTATCATAGAAAAGGCAAGTGTAAATTGTGTGGAGCAGAGTCTTAGGTAATCACCAGGGTGGGGGCACACTGCTTCACTGCTTTGTAGCTCTGTATGGGGGGTGTGCTTGGAGGGGGCTCAGTGTTGCTGCCTGGCTTCTGGAGATTTGCCTGGTACTTGCCCTGCAACTGGCGCCGTTCCAGCTGTTGCCCTGGTGCTGACTCTCAGAGTGGGTGATTCTGCATATGTTTTAAGTCTGTGCAGACCCTTTAAGCCAAGTCTCCAGAAAATCTGGCAGCTTTGTCTGCTGCCCCAATTCCCACTGGTTTTTACAGCCAGGAGCTATGGGGATTTATCTTCCTAGTACTGGAACCCTGGGCTGTGCAGTTTGGCCTGGGGCTGGGATCACTTGTTCCCAAGGTATCTCTCCCAATTTTTGTCCACCACGTGTGAATGTGGCACTGCCTGTTTCGCCACCTCTCTGTGCCATGTCCCATCTCTGCACCTCTCCACCCATCTCCACATCTCTGCCCCCATCTACCTGTCTGGATGAATGTGGCTTCTTTAAATCCTTGATTGTTGAACTTCTATACAGCTCGATTTTCTGACAGTATTGGGTGTTATTTGTTTTGAGGTCTAATTGTAATTCTTTCTGTGGTTGCACAAGGAGGTAAAGCATGTTTACTTATGCCTCCATCTTGACCAGAAGTACAGAGCTGAACTTTTAAATGAAAAGAAAGCAGTAGTCTATTCTATAAATCTAACAAAAAAACTGGTTTATGGGTCATCTAGTCTAAGAACTAGCATTTGGAAACTACTGCTTCTGGGCATCTGGATGAATGAATATAAGATGCGATTGCTACCTTCGAGGAGCTATTGGTATAAATATGGGAGCAGAAGAAAAAAGAGAGTAGGGTGATGGAAAGAAAATAAAACCAGAAGTCAGGGCCTAACATTTAATCATGGCCTGGTAACAAGCCAATTGTGATCTTGCTGGATCTCTATCTGTTTATATGAAGAACAAGGGGATTGGAATAGAACCAAGTTAACAGATAATAGATCACTAATCAATCACAACATTCTATCCAGGGCAACTTCCCACAGGCTGTCAGTACTAAATCATCAGAATTGGCCCTTGAGATGAAGTGAGTTTACCATCCTGATACTAGTCATCTCCAAGTTCCACTTTACTGCTACAGATTCTAAACTCTTATGAAGAAGCACACAACTGAAATTATAGAATAAGGAAATGAAAAGGCCCCAGAACATTCCTAAGATGTGCCTTAATAGGAAATTGTAGGGGCATGGGACTTCCTTTGTCCTTTTGAACAATTCAGAATAATTGGCTCTATGAGGGGCTTTGTGATGTTCTTCAGTAGTCTGGTTCTCCTCCTAGGTGACTTGTGTTGGGCACATCATTGGCGCTGTGGTCACTGACACCCCAGAACATGCACAGAGAGCAGCTCAAGGAGTGAAAATCACCTACGAAGACCTTCCAGCCATCATCACCATTGAGGTAACTGAGAATGGGCTGCCTGCGGAGAGGGGTGAGCTCCCTGTCTCTGGAAGCAACCTGTTTAGGGTCCTCCAGTGGAGATTTGAGCAGCAGGTAGGATTTGACTAGATAGGTTTTATATCTCTTCCAGCCCTTGGATTGTGTGGTTCTGTGAAACTTTCCCCATTGTGATCCTAGACTCAGTCCACTAATGGCCATGCTGAGTCCCTCCTACCCAATTTCAGCTCCATTCCAGTGTTTGAGGGATTCTTTGTTTTTCCTCAAGGTCTAAGGTTGTCCACCTCTATCTGAGGAAATGGGGGAATATGACTTTCTGGGCTACCCGTGAGTTTACTTTAAGTCTGTATGAGAAGCTTGTAGAGATGCCAGGGTGAGAAGAGAGGCAAAAATTCTGGAAACTTTTCTTCCCCCAGTCGGAAACTACCTTCTTCCCTCTGAAACTCAAATTGCTAAAACTTCTTTTTGATCCTCAGGATGCTATAAAAAATAACTCTTTTTATGGATCCGAGCTGAAGATTGAGAAGGGAGACCTCAAAAAGGGGTTTTCGGAAGCAGACAACGTTGTTTCAGGTACAGCTATGCCGTGCCACAATGGGGATGGGCTGGCCCTGGTTTATGAATGAAATTCAAGAGCTGGGCCTGGAGTCCTGGGGTGGCGAAGTGATTTCCTATCATTTCTGAACAAAAGAGTTCCTCTTATGTTTGTGACAAAATAGTAGACAGTTGGCTGGGGAAGAACTTCACATTATCTCTACTCTCCCGATTCTAGGCTGGATATACCTAAATGATTCTAGAGAGGTGATAGTATGCCAGATTTGGAAGGCTGTCTAGGGAAGATACAGGCCACAGATGCTTGGGCGGCCTTGATCTGCCAGACCTTTAAACACATGGACCCTTGGCTCTCCCTGTCCACCTGAAGGCAGCCCTCACCCATCTGCAGCTAGTACTGCCCACTCCCCTGCCTTTCTCCCCCACCCCCCACACTGAAATCCGGCCCATAGCTCTCACCCCAGGACAAAGCTACTGATTAGACCCCTTTTGGAATTGTTTTCTACGTTGTCCGTTGTGCATTGTTATTGCTAGTAAGTTAACTCACTAGCTGGCCTGATAGCTTCAGTTCTGGAAGGTATTTTTTAGCTTTTCAATCACATCTGTTGATTTTTTCTTTACCTTTTCCAAAGTTTTACAGTAATAGTTTCAAAATCTTTGATTTCTACTGGCTGCAGTAAAAAGAGAGCTTCATGTCTGGTGCATTTCATTGTCATTCTGGTTTCTTCGTTGAGGTGCTGGGATTCAGCTCTGAGATTGCTAAGACTGAGGCCCTTTTTCATACTGGTTGGGGAACATAGAATTTACCTGTGAGCAGCTGGCTCTTGCCTTGGGTACTTGGCAAGTACACGTCCTCCTTAAGCAGACTTGTCCCTTCTGCAGCAGCAGGCTCACTGTGTGGGGTCTTGTTGCTTCCCCAGGTGAGTTGTACATTGGTGGCCAAGAGCACTTCTACCTGGAGACTCACTGCACCATCGCTGTTCCAAAAGGTGAGGCAGGGGAGATGGAGCTCTTTGTGTCTACACAGAACACCATGAAGACCCAGGTAGGTGTCCTGTGGGTCGGCTCAGGTGTAGGGGGAGGGCACGGGGGAGCTCCTGGCCTTGCGGGAAATGGGAAGAGGGAGACCTGGGCTGGTCCAGAAGGGAATTGGAGGGTACTGGTCCTGCACCAGAGCCTGTCACCAGCATGTTGGTGTCCCTGAGCTTGTTTCTTAATCTTTCTTTTGTATAAAATGGGGCCTGTTAGGGTTGTTGTAATGATCAGATGGGTTTTAATACTTAGACAGAGATTAGTAAGTATGAGCTGTTAGGATCCCAGTGCTCTATGGCCTTGGTCACCTCATGTCTGGCTTCTCTCTTCTTATCTATAGAATGAAGGGGTTGGGTAAATGATAGCCACAAGGACCACTAAATCATCTACAGCAGCTCAAATATTTCTCATTTCTCTACTGCTTATAATGTGACAGTGGATGGCAGAATTTTTGGCACCAGGATCTACCCTCATGACCCACCAGTTCATGGTCTAATGGAATGAGTTTGCTCTGAAAGTGGTGAATAGGAGCTTGCCCCTCTGGTTAAAAGCAAGTGTCTGAATTCAGCCTGCGGTGGCTGATGAGTGTTGGACCCCAGCACCACTACCTGAGGGTCAGCACTGGGAGGGGAGGCGGATATTCGAATCTAGGATTCTCAGAATTCACAGCAGTAATTAGGTCTGTGAATGTCAGCAGGCTCTAGGTTAAGTGTGAAGTAAGTCTTCATGATGCATTCAGAGCAAGTGTTTTTTTTACCCCCCACAGAGCTTTGTTGCAAGTATGTTGGGAGTTCCAGATAATCGGATTACAGTCAGAGTGAAGAGAATGGGAGGAGGCTTTGGAGGGAAGGAGAGTCGGAGCACCTTGCTGTCTACTGCAGTGGCCCTGGCTGCATACAAGTGAGTCCACCCAGTGTGTTCTGGGAAGAAGAATAAGGCTGCCTCTGCCAGGAAGGCTTTCTGGATTACTCTCTTTGGAAAGGAGATTCTCTTTGCTTTGCATTTTCACAGCCTTTTGTTTTTAGGACTTTTGGGCATAGGGGTGAAGATAACATCACCTGGTTCCTTGTGTCCATATTTTATCTCCCCTACCTTGCTGTGAGGGCCCCGAGGGCAAGACACAGTTCATGGCCTATATTCCTCACCTTGTCCAGGCCAGTGCCCAGTCAACAAAGCAGCCCAGCACAGGTCTGCTGAGTATGCCAAGTGGAAAAAAAAGGACTTGCCTGCTCTTTTCATTGCTGAGATGCATGGGCTGTTGTAGGGGCCCCAGTTTTCTTTACTCTCTGGTGTCTCCCACAGGACCGGCCGCCCTGTGCGCTGCATGCTGGATCGCGACGAGGACATGCAGATATCTGGTGGCAGACATCCCTTTTTGGCCAGATACAAGGTTCCAGATATTGGGGGCTCCAGGGCGGGCAGTGCCATCACATTAGGATACACTCTGAATTTTCTTTTTTTTTTTTTTTTTTTACCACCACTATCTGTAGAAGTTCAAAGAGAAAATAGCAACAAGAGATTTTCAAATTGGCCCACAGCAACATAGAGGGGTGATGCTGCCAGCTCACCTCCTGAGCAGTGTCACAAGGTGGCATTTGCAACTCTTGCGAATTTGCTATGTTCCAAATCTGGTGTTTGTTCACTCAGATTCAGAACCATGATTTGTCAGCAGACCTATGGTAAATCCTTCCTGCAGGATGGCCTCATGTTAACGTGTTCACAGCTGGATATGAATACCAGGATGAATGCTTAGTAATTCACAGTGAGAAATACAATTTCCCAGGGCTGGACGGGCACACGTTGTTAGGGCAGGCACCTGTTCTGCCAGGCCACACATGGTGGCCAGGCCCTGCCCAATTTCCCTGTAAGACAGGCACTTTTCTGGGCTCCTGTGGGTGACCATGCGTCCTGTTCCCTGACACACCAGTATTACCTTACAGGCCCCTGTCTAGCTCTATAAACCTGGGAGCCCTCTCTCTCCATGAGCTGGCTTCAAACATCCCCCCTTTGACCTCTCCTGACTGTTTCATGACTGAACACCCCAAAACATGATATTTCTCTTATTTCCAAATTCTTGTGGGCTCAAAGAAAGTAACTTGGTCATTTTTGGGGGTCCCAGTTTCCTTACTTATGTAGTGGCCAATCCAGGCTTGTTTCGATGATTACCTAAATAAGGGATGTTACAGCGCGCTGAAACTCTTGCAAAGCGTGACTTGTATTGTTTGCTGGCACAATTTATGAGGGGAGAGACTCCAGTCTCCTTTCCAGTTTCTCCTCCCAGCCCTCCCTCCCTGCCCTATCATGACCAACATTCTCTTTTCTATGATGGTAGAAGCCAGGAGTAGTTAGAAAGGAGGAGGACCATGGTGAGAAGGTATTCTAGAGTGGAGCCATGGCTGCGTCACTTGGGAGATGTTAGTTCCTCTCTTCTTGTTCTCGTGGTCTCTTATGTTCGCCTTTCTTCATGGTGTGATGTCTTGCTCTTTCTGTTTCCTCCAGGTAGTATAAGTAGGAGGAGAGTGGTCGAAATAGAGAAAGGGGCCTGTTGACAAATCATTCCCCTTCTCTTCAGGTTGGCTTCATGAAGACAGGGAGGATTGTGGCTCTGGAGGTGGACCACTACAGCAATGCCGGGAACTCTATGGATCTCTCTCAGAGTGTAAGTAGGACAACCTCCTGCTTCCAGGATGGCTGGGAGATCAAGGGTGTGCCCCACAGCCTGTTCACACAGACAGGCACAGCATCCTCTATTCTTGCCTGTTACTGTTGCAATAGCTTCCCAACCGGTCTCTGCCTTCAGGTTCTCCATCCTTCGTTAATCTCTAAAGCACAGAGATCATAATTACTTCTCTCATCTTTCTTGTGCAAGATTTCTGGACAAACAAGGAAACTTAGTAATAAAACTTTATATATAGTATGGTGATGTTGTGTGTGTGTGTGTGTGTGTGTGCATGTATATATATTGTAGTCTGGTAGAAGAGACACCAAACAGTGAATGGATGGGTTAAGGGGGCATTTTCTACATTGCACACTTCTGTAATGTTTAAATTTTAAATAATGAGTTGAGTTACTCTTTAAAAAACAATTTATTGCAGTATAGTTTACATACCATGGGGTTTACCCATTTGAAATATATAATTTAATTTTTTTAATAAATTTAAAGTCATGCAACCATTATCAAAACCCAGTTTTTGAACATTTTCCTCACCCCCACGTGACCTCTTGTGCTGATTTTGCAGTCACCCGTGTTCCCTTGCCCAGGCCCAGATACCCTCTAATCAATTTTTAGTCTTTATAAATCTCCCTTTTCACATAACTACACTCATACACTATGTAGCCCTTTGTTCCTGGCTCTTTTCTCTCAGAATAATGTTTTTGAGGTTCTTTCATATTAGAGCATGTATCATTTCTTCATTCATTTTTATTGATGACTAGTATTTCCTGATATACATAGACTATATTTTGTTTTCTGTTCACCATTTGATGGACATTTGGGTAATTTGCAGTTTTTAGCATGTATGGATAATGCTGCTTTGAACATTCTCATATGACTCTTGTACAGGCATATTTTTGTCAATTTTGAGAATTAACTAAGTTACGTTGGTGATACTACTTTAAAATTGTTTTTAAATCTTAACTTTATAATAATACTAGTTGCATATGCATAGATTCTTGTAGGAAAAAATAAGTCGAACATTTCAGGAAAAGCAGAATTTCCTCACTACTTGCCTCCACCCCACCTCCTCTCTGCTAATTAGCTCAATTAGGACACTTCACACTTCAGATCTGGTGAAAAACTATTCAAAAAGGAAGCACTTTTAGTGTTCTTATCATTTATAACATTGGCTTCTTGGTGTCAGGAAAAATCAGGTTGAAAAAGACACAGTACTTGTTTGCAGCGATCACAAATTCAATCCAGCAAATATTTATTGAGTGCTTAGGTTGCCAACATAAAGAAGCTATATATATCATTATTTCTGCCTTCAGGAAGTTCCCAGTATGGTGGGGGAGACAGATAGTAACAGACAAAAGGAAATAAAAGTACAAGTCGACAGAGCACTAAGGAAAAGCAAGAAGGGGATTAGTTGAGACATACAAAAATCGTCCAGGATGATTAAGACTGGAATAATTAGACACAAAAAACAACCTGTGGGAAAGAGAAACTATACATGGGGAAGGAAGCCAAACCCCAAATGAAACAAATAAAAACCACCATTGATTGCATCAGAGAGATGAATTATTACATGTTACTGAAAGAACAGTATGCTATAAGAATGGAACAATCAGAGAATTAAAATGAACTCTTAAGAATTAAAACTGTAGAAGCAGAAAGTTTGAAAGAAACTCAAGGAACTGTCCCCAAACGTAAGAAAATAATGTGGGGCCCTGGCTGGTGTGGCTCAGTGGATTGAGCGCCGGCCTGTGAACCGAAGGGCTGCTGGCTCTATTCCCAGTCAGGACACATGCCTGGGTTGCAGGCCAGGTCCCCAGTAGGGGGTGCCTGTGAGAGGCAACCACACACTGTTGTTTCTTTCCCTCCCTCCCTTCCCCTCTCTCTAAAAATAAATAAGTAAAATCTTTTTTAAAAAAAGAATAGAATGTGGGAAAACAGGAGAGAAAATACAAAAAAATTCGGGGACCAGTTGAGTTGAGAAAGTCCATGTAATAGAACTTTCAAAAAGAAGGAATGAAAAAAAGAAGACAGAAACTATCAAGAAGTAATTCAAGTTATTTTACCAAATGATGAGCATACATTTTTAAGTTAAATTAGTAATAAGTGCACAGAAATCTAAGCAAATGGAAAAATAAAGACAATTTATTAACTCTCGGGGGAAACGTTATCAAGCAAGTAGTCATAATATTACTGTATGGTTCAGCTGTGAGTAATGTCTACAGAATAATAACACTAAACTGGCTATTGATCAGACCAAAATGTAACTATATGGAAAGGATGGGGAATGGGAAGCGGGTGTGTATTCAGGGAAAGGGGATTAGCAGGGAACTAGATCCTCAAAGTCTAAAACTGAAAAATTCAGGAAGTGGCAATGTAAGCACATTACTTGGAAAGGTGGGTGTGAATGAAATAGCTGATAAAGAATAAGCTGTGAGAACTGTAAGTGGTTGTTTCTGGGGCGTGGAAGGAAGGAAAGTGGAGGGGGCCCCTGTTTTGCATAACACAATTTATGCAAGTGTTGACCTCTTTAATCTACTTGCAGTCTAACTTTAATGGGAATAAAAACTACTTGAAAATTAATTAATAAAATCACATTTTTTTTTTAAAAAAAAGAGGCAAGTGATCAGTTCTAACTAGAGGGTCTGAGAAGGGCTTCCCCAGAGAGGAATGGGGGTTTTAGCAGGTGTGAGGATGGGTGTGACAGGTGAGAGGAACATGTAATCAGAAAAAAGGATAAAAAATGTAATGGAGAAAGGTCTTGAATTCCATGCTGGAAGATACAGACGTTACCCTGAAGATGGTAAGTAGAGGCTTTAAGGATGTTGTTGACCTGATGTGACCTAATGTCTTGGTAGGAGTCACAGATCAGAGGGCAGAGACATGGAAAGTCAGGAGCGCAGTGAAGAGGTGGTTGCAATAGGCCCAGGAAGAACTCACCTGGGCCTGAGAAGAGCAGTGGACTGTGGGGCTGGGAAAGGCAGGGATCCAATGAAACCAATGCCCTGTTCTCTCCCATTTTGGTTTCCTCTGCTTCAGATAATGGAGAGAGCTCTATTCCATATGGACAACTGCTACAATATCCCCAACATCCGGGGCACCGGGCGGGTGTGCAAGACCAACCTGCCTTCCAACACGGCCTTCCGGGGTTTCGGGGGGCCCCAGGGGATGCTCATTGCCGAGCATTGGATGAGTGACGTTGCAGTGACCTGCGGGCTGCCTGCCGAGGAAGTAAGCAGGGAATTGGGTGGCACCAGTTGGAGTGGGTTACCCTACTTTCAGGGACAGTGGCTTCGCATTTTGGGCATCTTCCCTGGGGGCAGAGGATAGGCCGGTACTGACGAGAGGGGCCCAGATGCTTCACTTTAGGTTTTGTCCCCCTCACCTGTTGTCTACAACAGGCCTCAGTGTCTCTCTCCTTGCGAAGGTACGGAGGAAGAACATGTACAAAGAAGGGGACCGGACGCATTTCAACCAGAAGCTCGAGGGGTTCACCTTGACCAGGTGCTGGGATGAATGTCTCAAAAGCTCTCAGTATCACTCTCGGAAGAGTGAGATCGACAAGTTCAACAAGTAAGTGCCAGGAGCGGGGGAGCCTGACACTCTGGCACCCTCTTGGGTTTCATATTCTACAGCCTTTTTGCTGAACTCAGAATACAAAGCTAATAATATAATGAATAATTTATGAGGCTGCCGAGTTTTGCTAACTCATTCATAGCCATTTCTTTAAGATTATGAAATGATCTTAGCCTGGGGGCAGGTGGGCTCACAGCCTTCACTCAGCATCAGAGCTTTTCAGTGTGGTTCATCTTTCCATGTTTGTCTGCCTGTTGAGCGCACCACATTCTAGAGAACACCAACCCAGGATGAAGAACCCCACAGTTGTGTCTCGGCCTCTAACAGTAATCTATAAATGCGACCTTGGCAGTCACTCCGCCTCCTTGGGCCCCATCTGCAATGTGGGGATAATTATGCTGGTTTTGTCTTCTTCACTGAATTGTTTAGAAAACCAAATCTGAAACACAGAGGAGATGTTATCATTATCCTCAGTGAGCCACAATTCCTCCCTGGGACAATTCCAGTTCAAGGTCACTAGGATACTCTGACCCAATCTGAATTACCCTTGGGGAAGAAGCGTGATGATACTTTAAAGTCCGATGTTCAGGGCTGGGCCCTGCTCCACCTGCACAGAAGGACCCAGGAACCAAATGCCTACCTTTCTCATTCTCTCTGCACCATTGGGGCACAATGCAGCTATCACAATGACTATGGGCAGCTCTGAGGATGCCTTATTTCAGTTTTACAAAGTTGCTCACTGAAAATGTGTTCAACCTGATGCAAAAATGATAGAGAAGATTCTATGAGGATGCTTCTTTTTCTCCAGGGAAAATTGTTGGAAAAAGAGAGGATTGTGCATAATTCCTACCAAGTTTGGAATAAGCTTCACTCTTTCTTTTCTGAATCAGGTAATTGCTTTATATAATTCTATCTCCATGGAACTGGAGCCCCCTTTCCCCCTCTTTGCAAGGGAAAGCCTCCTGCCTTTGGGGACAGAGCAACTGGAGGAGCTCTTTGCTGTTTAAATGGATTTGCGTGTCCCTGATTGTCCACTATGTCATGATGCAGTGAGGGCAGCACGAGACTCAGAGACCTGGGGTCAAATTCTACTTCTTAGCCTTCCTGGTGGCCGGACCATGGACAGTTACTTAATTTTTCTGATCCTGTTCCTTCATCTATAGAGTGAGGACAAAGATACTTGATTTACCTCCATCTGAGGATGGGAGGCAGAGAGCGAGCGAGAGATGAAAAAACTTTGCAAAGTGCTGAAGGACTCTCTAATTAAATCATGAGATTGATACTACTTTAATTTTTGTCTGGGGTTTATATCCAAAATTTTGTTTGCCTGTTCTCTTTTTCCTGGGCTGCAGTACTGTTTGTCTCAAGTCTTAAGCTGAACTAGGATTTACTAAATTTTGTGTCTGGATTTCTTCTCTGTCCTTAGGCAGGAGCCCTGATTCACGTGTACACAGACGGCTCTGTGCTGCTGACCCATGGGGGCACAGAGATGGGCCAAGGCCTTCACACCAAGATGGTCCAGGTGAGCAGCCTGGGGACTCTGGGGTCGTGTGAGGGAAGATGCTGGGGGAAACTCAGGGCTGCGACCTACCAGAAGCAGAATCAGACCTAGGCTCTCGCCCTGGTTCTGTTGCTCATTTAAATGTGACCTGGAATAAGACTTCTGCTAGGTTAGGACTAGGGTGTTTTCATTTGTGCAGAGGTGCTGTCCATGTGATCTCTGGGGTCACTTCTGTGACCAGTATTCTAGGGCTCTGTGACTGTCTGTGAGGTGGGAGTGTTGTGTGTATAACAGGAGCTAGTTCGGCACACAGGCAAGACCTCGCACAGTGGGCCTGGATGGTGGGGCTGAATTAGAGTGAGCACACCTGCTTGACTCCTGGGGACTAGGGAAATGGGATTTTGTAAAATGAGGGCTACTTTTAAAAAGCACTTAAAAAATTTTTTTTTCAATTACAGTTCACATTCAATATTATATTGTATTAGTTTCAAGTGTACCGCAGAGTGATTAGACAATCACATACTTTACAAAGTGTTCTCTCTGTTATTTCCAGGACCCAACTGGCATCATACATAGTTATTACAATATTATTGACTATATTCCCTATGCTGTACTTTACATCCCTGTGATTATCTTACAACTACCAATTTGTTAAAAGGTACTTTTAATCACTATGAGGTTTATGAAATCTTTTTTCCAACTAAACTGTTTCATAACATGCTGCTTCAAGTTCAGGCAGTTGTGAGAACATTCCAGTCTGAGTAGAATTATAGTTGACGAAATTGTTTTCTTGCCTGTACTTGTGAACCCGAATCCTGTCTTGGAGCAAAGGCAGCCTAGCCCTATATTCACCCCTTCCTTAAAGGGTGATAATCATCTTTCTTCACAGGTGGCCAGCAAAGCTCTGAAAATCCCCATCTCTAAGATCTACATCAGTGAGACAAGCACTAGTACAGTGCCCAACACCTCTCCCACGGCTGCCTCTGTCAGCAGTGACATCAATGGACAGGCCGTCTATGTAAGGAGCCTCAGGAACCAGCAGAGCTGAGGGCCAGCCCAGGGCTTTGGGGGCAGAGAGTTTCTGGAGTGGGAGCTGGAAGAGCCCTTTGTCTGTGACCATGCCTTTGGCTCTTTTGCCCAGGAGAACCCTGCTGCTCCAAATGATGAGCTAAAAGAGAGACCCAAGAAACATAATCACTTTAATCGAAGTCAGGAAGGATGAGTGTAGGAGGGGGATGAGGGTTGGAGAAGACGCAGGGGCTTCTGGGAAGACATACTCCCTGGTGTGAGAACTGGCCACAGACAATGGGCTGGAATTGAAAATCTGTTGTGGGGTTGGCCAGGCCTGACCTACTTACTTTTCTCCCACATGGAGAATATAATCAAACAAAAGAGTTTGATGGGAGAAGGTGCCTCCCTAGGGATCCCGTACACACTTCACCCTTTGTCAGCGTAAGAACTGGGTCAGGAAGTACTCTCCAAGCAAAAGCCAGTGGTAGTCCCTTTGGAAGGGTTGAGTGGTTTCCACCCTAGGCCTCGATAACTCCTTAGAGGGCGACAAGGCTGTTTGAGTAGCACCTGGGCACATTATTTGGAGGTGGCTTTGTGGAGGCCCTTGAGGTTTTCCCTGAGCCGGGGCATGCAGAGGACTGACGTGTCTGGTGTGTGGTGGATGTGTTCTTTAGGCAGCTTGTCAGACCATCCTGAAAAGGTTGGAACCCTTCAAGAAAAAGAATCCCTGTGGCTCCTGGGAAGACTGGGTAAGTCTGAGCTGATCCAAGCTGCTTTTGCAAATGAAAGTGGAATGAAGAGCAGGGTTTCTGTCCCCGCCCAGAGCAGGAATGGGGGATCCTGACCGAGTCACACGGCAGGGCGGAGCTGAGGGGTCTGTGTGTTTTCACAGGACAGGTGCATGCTCAGCCTGGCTGGGCCCCTTTCTCGGTGGTTTTCTTAGCTAAGGGAAGTCACTTGAAGAACAATTTTTGATCCAGAATTCTGAGAGCTCGGTGGGAATTGGGGGTGTGGCTGCCCTGAACCTGAGAAGATAGCTTGGTGAACTCCCTTGGTGAATTCACATGAAGCTTGGGCCTCACTGTGAACTCTTCATTCAGGCCTGGCCCTGCACCCTGCTCGTCCGTAGCCTTGATGAGTCTGGTTTTCTTCAGACCTCCCTCTCCTGGAGGGCTGCCCCCGCCAGCCTCTGCCCTTACCCAGCGTTGGAGTCTGGGTCCACTGAGATGCCATCAGTGAGGGAGCGGGAGGAAAAGACATTATATGAGAGCTGATATCATTCCTGGGATTTTAGGAGTAACAGAATAAGCACTGCTAATAAGAATGAACCCAGTTCTCTGATTTCTGCCTGGGAGGCCTGCATGTCAGAAACCCTCAGAGGGAAGCTGCAAGGCAGTGTTGGGTAGGAGGACTAGGCACAAGAGTAACACCCAAAATGTGACTGCAGGCGAACCAGCTCAGATAGTGCAACGGATTCAAAGAAAATCAACTTTTTCTGTCATACCCATTGACCCCCTCTGCTTCCCCTTCCCACACTCATCGTGGCGCACACATAAATACTGTGTGAATGCAGGTTGATTTTGGTAGGTTAGATTTGAGTGCTGATTTGGAAGGCAATGTTAATGTTTTCAACAATAGCTGTTACAGTCTGCTGACTTGAGCTTTGTCATCCGCTATTAGCTATATAGTCCAGTGTTCCTATAAGTGGATAACCTCAAAAAAAAAAAAAACAAAACCATGATCAAGAAGGTGTATTCAGGAGATGATGGGCGTCAAATCTGTCCAGTGTCTGTACTGTACTGAAAACAAGTCGTAATTGCCACCACTGCTGTATGTGTGTGTATTTGATACCATGTACATAGGGTAAGGATCCTAGAGAAACTTTTTCTGAACCTTAATTTTCTCATCTGTAAAATAATACCAATCTTACAGGGTTGTCCTGAATATTAAATAAGATAATGTGTGCAGATTACTCAATAGCATCTGGTACATAGTTAAGAGCTCAGTTATTGATGACAATCGTGATGCAAATTATAAATCTTAGTGCTGTGTGAGTGCTGGGGATACCCTCAAAAACTTATTATATAGTTAAGAAGGCAGGATGGGTGGATAGATGGTTGGATAGCTTTATTAATAGGAAAGTATCCGTAAGAACGTAGGTATCGGATGAGCAGGATAGGGAGCAATCACGGAAGCGAGGTGATTGGAGGGGCAGGCTCGAGCTGGTTGTTGAGGGAAGAAGAGGGTTTGGACAGCTCTGGTAGAAGAGCCACATACCGAGACGTGCCCAGACACCGCGATATGGAAGGGCCGAGAGAGTTAACAGTTGAGTTTGGCTGGAGTGGCAGCGGTGTGTGTGCTTCACCAGAGATGACGGGGGCCCTCAACATCAGGTATTTGCTCTATAGGCAATGGGGAGCCATCGAAAGCTCTAGAGTAAGAGGGTGCCTTGGGCAGTGCGGTATGTTAAGCTGCTCACACTGCCCGGGCTGGGTGACACAGCATTGGGGGAAGCAGGAAGACCAGTTAGTGCCTCAGGCTTCAAAGTCCAGGACTGGAGACGGGTGGCAGTGAGAGTGCAAGGCAGGGCGTGGAAGTGAGTCACCAGTGAAGTGTGTGACCAACTTCCAGATGAGGAGGATGAGCTTACAAAAGCTTGGGGCCAGGTCAGGGTCTCTGGAAACCATGCTCACTCCTTCCTCATGGCCGTTTCTTCTCCACAGGTCTGTGCCGCCTACCAGGATGCAGTGAGCTTGTCCGCTACTGGGTTTTATAAGTACGTAGGTGCTGATCTCACCCGTCTGACAATGTGCTGTCATCCTAGCCTCCCGGGTTCCTTCAGCACTGGGTTCTGTCGGCCCGTGGTCAGGAGAGAGCATTCCACCAAAACTCTTACCTCTTCAGTGGGCTTCTACTAATTTCCACTACAAAGTCTTCTAAAATACAGGGGGTTACCAAGCTATACGCCAAGGAGCCAAACACATGAGCTGCCATCAGAAGACCCCCCCAATCCAGTTCTGGTCTTTGTAGGCTACCCCCTTGGGGAAATCAGTGATTTCCTCCGCACCTGTTTCCTCATTCATGACAGAATGGAACAATGACCAACCATCCCTCCATCCGTGTGCCCATCTGTGAGGACCGGCGGGGTCCCGTGTTCTGAGTGGCCCTTGTGTGTTACTGTGCAGTAGATTTCTTTATGGAGGCTTTCCTTCAAAAAAATGAGAGAGGGATTTAGAGCCCATGGTCTTGTTACGAAATGGCGAAATTCACAGAACTTAAAGTGAGGTTTAGAAAAGAGCACATATCTTCTGCAACTGTAAAATTCAGTAGTAGCATGAATAGCTAGAGATCTGGCCCATCTGATTTACAAGCTGGGAAAAGATATGATCACAGTGACTGTCAGCTGTCATGTTTTAGCTTTCTCCGGGAAATTTAACTAGGACCTTTTCTTTCACAGATTAATGGATTTGGCAAATAGTTCTTTGTTTGCTTCAAAAAATTTTTTTGTAAATATATGAATATATTTTTTATCTTTAGGCCAAGTATTGTTTTGCCAGTGTTCCCTAGGTTATGTGATATTTGGCCTACATAAATACCAACTAGTGCAGATTTTCTGATAAGTTCCTGTTTCATTTTTGGAGCTGATAAAACTGTAGTTGTATAAGGGAATGCCCAGAAGAAGATGGAGAAATGAGAGGTCAAAGAAAGGTGTCATTTCTTCCTCAGCCCTATATTGTTCTTTTTCATGCAAGTTCTGATCACATCACATTATTTCTGTGTAATGTATAGAATAACATAGATACAGAGTACTATAAACTCTGGTATAAGACTATACACACGTACATACATATATATACATGGCTCATGCAAAATTGGAATTATATAAGATACTCAGGATTGAAAAAGAAAAAAAAATGTAGGAGAGCATCGACTTGTATTATTAACACTTTCCTCACATCATTTGTTGAGATTTAGAAGGGACCCGTAGGTGAGGGGTAATGCAGGCAAGTGGCTGCTTAGAGATGTGCCCAGGCTGGTATGAGGTACGAGCTTGTTAACTTTCACCTGTGAACAGGCAAGCTCGTGTGAACAGCCCAGCAGTCAGCACAGGAGCCTTTGGTTCTGAGACCACAAATTCTAGCTCATGGATCTTTTGGAGTGTGACTTTCGTGTCCTTTGTGAGCTCGGGGAACTCTGTCACCTCTGTTTCCACCATGTAGAGGCCAGCACGCTGACACTATACACTGCTTGGCTGTACAGAATAATTTGTATGAGGGCCATTGGCAAAATAGAACAGAGACAAGAGACACAGGGCTCTGGAATACCTCGGTTTCATTAATATGCTTACATATTCAAAACAGATGGACTTTTTGGAAGAACAGATGAATGAAAAAATAAAACCTTTGGGGGTCTTAAGATCTTGTGGGACAAGCCATTCACGTGTTATGGGGATTTATATTCATCTCAATATATGTACAGTGTTTTTTGTTTTCCGCACCAGAACACCCAACCTTGGCTACAGCTTTGAGACCAACTCAGGGAACCCCTTCCACTACTTCACCTATGGGGTGGCTTGCTCTGAAGTGGAAATTGACTGCCTAACAGGGGATCATAAGGTAAGAAGTTTGCAAAACTTCAGAAGTAAAGGGGAAACAAAAGAAGAGAAACAGCTGAATTGGAAGAGACAAACTCTGTAGTTGGGAAAATAATGCCTCACATCACAGTTGGCAAACTTCCTGTAAAGGACTAGTGAGTGAAAACTCTAGACATTCACTTCTGGGCCACAAAGATACTGCCTCAACATTATCATTGCGGCACACAAGCAGCCGTAGACGTATGAAAACAAACAAGCGTGGCTGTTTTCCCGTAAATGTTACTGATGCACACTGAATGTGAATTTCATGTATTGAATAGGTTTCACATGTCAGCACATGTTCTTTTTATTTTTGTTGGTTATTTAATACTGTAAAAACCATAGTAGCTCACAGGCTATACAAAGACAGGGGACTCGCTGGAATCAGCCCATGGGAGTGCAGTTTGTTGACCCTTCCTTACATGATCTACGCAGACTCAGGTGTGAAGCCCCAGGAACCTGCAGACCTGCCCCTCCCACTCACACATGGGTGGGTGAGCAGTTATTTGGGCTACTGAGACCATTGCCACCCCGATCCCTTCCTGAGCTGCCGCTGAGAACTCAAACTCCCACAGTGATGGTGTTGGTAGAGACTGGCAGGAGGGTGGACACTCCTGCTGCCTCTGTGTGCCCCGAGCACTCTGCTTGGGAAAGTACTGCCTGGGTTGGCACTTCATACATCGATCCTTCCATGCATCCTGTTCTTCTCAAACTGCTTTTATTTCGTTCTCCATTGTAGAACATTCGCACCGACATTGTCATGGATGTTGGCTCCAGTCTGAACCCTGCCATCGATATTGGACAGGTAAGGCTCATGGACAGGTAAGGAACCTCGGTGGTGATAGACTTGGCTATTGATGTACCCATCCCCTTCCGAGGGTCATCAGCCACAGCATCTTGTCCAATGTCGTTTCTGTGTGGGTCTGCATGTGGTACCATGAGCGTCTTCCTCAGAGAGGGATTTAGACAGATGAGATCCCACCCCTGTCTTGAGGCAGAAGACAAATTAGTATGGATTGACTTGGAAAGGGCACCCAAATCCCGGAGAACAAAATGAATGGAGGAAACATGGAGTGTACACGTGCACACACATGCACACACACGCACTGTTGGAGAGGGAGCCCGGTTGGATGGAGACTGAGTTTGGGATCAATGTGAAGAAAGTGAGGTCTAAGGTCAGGGAAGCTACCCCCTCCTCATTTTTCTTCCGCCCACAACAGCAATGGACTCAAGCGTATGTTCAAGCAAGAGGAGTAAAGGGACAGCCCAAAGAAAAACACTTTTGGAAAATAGGGGAGTATTGGTCAGAACAGGTGGAAGAGGAAGAGACAGAAGGGGGAATCAGAACCTGAAGTACTGAGCATCTGGTAGAAAATGTAAATTGTATTTTTCAAAAATGGACAATTACTGAGTATACAGAAACCTCATCATTAGTCAATCAGTTCATTCATTGACCAACCATTGGGCAGGCACTGAGCTGGGCCCTGCACCCGTGAAGATGGTTAGCACCCAGTTTCCCCACAACATTCTTGTTTGGCTATGTGCACCACTACCTGATTCTGAGGAGTGAGGCTGGGGGAACAGAGAGTGAACCTGTAGAGCATGTGGCAGATGCCCCTGAACAGATCTGAAAGCTACATCAGGGCCACTCTTTCGCCCAGGGGGCAGGAAGGGCTGTTAGTTCAAAAAGCCTGGAATCTAGTCTCCAAAAAATTCCTCCTTTTGGTGGGGCTGCTTGGAAGTACGGTCCCATTCAGCACACAGGACGAGCATGGGCACCTGAGGGACACTCGGCAACCGTTAGCCTGTGAGCTTCTGTCTCAGCTTGAGGTCACCATTTTCCCAGAGACAGCGTGGGAGGAATATCTTCCTTCACCTGCCTAAAGCAGGTTTTAATGGGAAATTATGCTACCATGGCATGAGCCTCCTGGAATCTCCAACAAGTTCTGACACTGACCTTCAGTGTTAATGCCCATGCTCTTCCTACGCCAAGGCCTGGCGAAGGCCCAGAGAGGCTACCAGGGCTGGGGGGTGGGAGCCAGGTGAGCAGTGCAGGGCTGTTTGCACCTTCTTTCCAGGCCCCAGTCCAGGCGGCGTGGTGCCTGTGGCGGGAAGCAGTCCCTGTCCCTGGGGATGGGGGCGGCGGTGTGTCCACGGTCTCTGTCTGCCCTGCAGGTGGAAGGGGCCTTTGTCCAGGGCCTGGGCCTCTTCACCATAGAGGAGCTGCATTACTCCCCCGAGGGGGTCCTGCACACCCGTGGCCCCAGCACCTACAAGATCCCTGCATTTGGCAGCATCCCCACTGAGTTCAGGGTGTCCCTGCTCCGTGACTGTCCCAACAAGAAGGCCATCTATGCATCCAAGGTACTGTTGCCCTGGGTCTAGACTCCTTTCCTATTTGCACTGTGGGAGGCCACGGGTGGTGACGGGTTCCAGCCACCTGCCATGTGGGTCTGCAGGGGGCTCGTCTGGATGAGAGAAGAGGGCTTGACATCGGCTTTGGCAAGGGTGGTGGAGGGGCAGGCAGTCCTGCCTGAGAACCGGGGACCTGGGTTGGGCATGACGCCACCTCCATGGGGTGGAAGCCAGCTCTTTGGGTACAGTGAGGAACTCCTTAATCCAGTCTCTGTGCCTCTCTGCACCCCTGTCACCTCCTTCAATGGCTGCCACCTGATCTTAATACTTGAGCAGCATGCCTGAAGGATGACAGCCGTCCTCTGTTTCTTCTCTGTCCCCAACAAGTATGAAAAAGTGGTTCAAGATCAGTCGAGGTGATGGATATAGTTCTAGGTCTAAGGGAGACAGATAATCACTTGTAGCAGTGAAACCCACCCATTTGCTCATCTCATGGGTCACGTTACCATGGGAGGGTCTGAGACACTGTGCAGTCCCTGCCATGGGCTCATGATGAAAATGCAGTTCTGCAGGCCTGCCCCTAGACCTGCTGCTTCAGTAGGTCCAGGGCAGGGCCCTGGAACGTGCATTTTGAACAAGTGTCCCTAGTGATTCTGATACAGGTAGCCTCTGGTCTGTGCTTTGGGGGACACAATCACCTTTGCTAGGAAAGGTTTTAATTCTTGTTTGTCATTATGTGTGTATTCTGGTAGATGCTGTAAGTGTAACTGTGGTGCTTGTAAATGCTGGTGTCAGAGTTGCAGGTAGATTATTTTCCTAGGCTTATAACTGTGAGGAGCGAGTTGAAGTTCATGTCAAGTTTTATTTTTGTTTGTTTATACATTGCAACTATTTAATATTACTTTTAATGGTACGTTATATATGCATGATGTCTTGAGAGAATCTCATAGAGTTCAAAGAAATGTGCCAACGAGGTCAAGCCACTTTACTAGATTGATTGTGCTCAGCCCCTGATTAATTGAGGCTGGTGAGTGCTGGCGGCTGAGGTTCCAGCATCGCTGACCCTCCTGCTATGGGGCCTGGGGCTCCTTGGCCTGATTTCCTGTCCCCTACTCTGTTCCCTCAGGCTGTCGGGGAGCCCCCTCTTTTCCTGGCAGCCTCCATCTTCTTTGCCATCAAGGATGCCATCCGTGCGGCTCGCGCTCAGCATGCAGGTAATGCAAAGGAGCTTTTCCGGCTAGACAGCCCTGCCACCGCCGAGAAGATCCGCAATGCCTGCGTGGACAAGTTCACCACCCTGGTATGATACCTCTCGAGCGCCTGTTTGGTCTGCAGACACTCAGCCTGGGGAGGCCGGGGCAAAGGCCTGCAAACTGTAGGGGCAAGTTCTGCAGAGGGGATGGGGGCGGTGCTGGGCTCTCTTTCAGCAGGGCAGCCTTGGGTCAACGCCACCCTCCACTCTCCGGTTGAGGCATCCCCTTGAACTTGCAGGAAAATAAGAAGACACCCCCTTAAACTGTAGCTTGTAGCTGGGCCTCCTTAGAGGAAGGAGGGCTGTTTGATACACACCCATCACCCACAGATTTCATTATTTTCCATGAAGATGAAAGTGATGGATGAAACTCCAGAAGAGCCTAATTTCATGTCCATCACTAGCATGTTTATTGAGATCCTTCTTTGTTAAAAACACCGTGTGAGGTACTATGGAGATGGAGAAAAAAAGAGAAACACACTAATTAATTAGATGGCCCACATTTGTTCTGTGATTACCATGTTCATGCAATACGGGGGACATACAGGTGCCGTTGCGGACTTTGCAGCCTTTTAGGAAACCAGATGATCTCATTATATGGTGACTGGTTCCCACCTTGGAGATGTTTGGCTTCTGGACACACAGGACTCTTCAGGTGCCCTTGCACTGGCAGCTTCTGCTGAGCTAGCAGAACCAGGTTCTTCCTGATCCCCAAGTTGGAGTTCCTCCTGGGTTATTTGGTGGGAAATTTGATAGGCCCTTTGAGTTTAGAGGCGATGTGGGTATTTGTGGACCCAGAGTGTTCCAGGGATGGGGAAGGTTCAGGGGAGGCCCAGGGCAGGCAGATCTTCTATCCCAGACCTCAGCTCTGAGGGCGAGGGAGGCGGGTGGGTCTCTAGTCAGGTCATCCTTTGGGTCTGCCCGTAGCTTCAGCTATGGGGCGAGGGCCGCACGGACAGGGTGTGGAGCTGCCAGGCCGTGTGGACGCCCACAGCTGTGCAGCGGCCTTCTCCAGCCCAGGGCCTTCCCTGCGTGGCCTCAGGGCTGACGGCTCCTCGGACCCCGTTCCTGAGATGAGAGGTGCTGCATGGCTCCCTGGAAGCCTGCACAGGCTGCAGAGTCACTCCTTGTGAATAATCTGATGCACAACTCAGTGATTGAATGAGCCCCTCCAAGGCCCCCGACCTAAAGCAGAGATTCTAATCCAAGCCCCTTTGCTATGTAAAAACACACTAGTGATTTAAAATCCCTGCAGTGGACTTGACCCAGCAGCTGATTCTATGCTTTTGAAGAAGTGTGAGCGCCATGTAGAAGGGACCACTTCCGTATTTGGTCATCCCTGTATCTCCAGAGCCTACTAGAGTGCCTGCCACGTGAAAAGTGCTCAGTAAAAATAAGTGAATGACTAGGAAATGAAGGGGTCCTGCCCTGGGGGCATTTCTAACAGCTGGGACTGCAAAGTGGTATTCGGTTTTAACAGTGGTGGCTGGCGCTGGTGATGTGTGTGCAAGAGGGTGGATGAGCTCTGGCTGGGCTGCTCAGTTGGTTGGAGTGGCATCCCCTACACCAAAAGCTTGTGGGTTTGATCCTGGGTCAGAGCATATACCTAAGTTGCGGGTTCAGTACCCCGTCAGGGGACTTACGGGAAACAACCAGTTGATGTTTCTCTCTGATATGAATGTTTCTCTCTCTACCTTCCTCTCTTTCTAAAGTCAATAAACATATCCTTGGGTGAGGATTTAAAAAAGAGAGAGAGGGGGTAGGAGGAGACATGTTCTCTGGGAAGACCCTGGCAGTGAGCTCTCTGTCGTTCTTTTCTAGTGTGTCACTGGCGTACCAGAAAACTGTAAACCCTGGTCGGTGAGGGTCTGAAGAGAACGCCCCCAGCAAACTCGTCTTCTGCTACACGGGGGCTTCCATGGAGCATGGAACGTGAATCTGTCCAAGTGGCAGGATGACAATGCTGTGTTTCATCTGAATGGTGTTTGGAAGAATACTGAATGCATTAGAAGATTTTGATCAAAAACGTGATTTGCAAATATAATGATAAGCAAATTCCGAACTGTTAGGCCCAAGACCGAAGTGGCTAATATGCAATTAAGGGTCATTTCATGTCTGTTTTAATCATGTATATGCTTAAATCAATTTAGGAAGTGTTTGTGCTGTGTCCCCACTCACAAGACAGGCTGTGTCACCTCAAGCGTCTGCCCTTCAAAGAGGAATTCCACAAACCTCCAGAAGCTTAAACCAGTTATTTAAATCCATGTGCCTTACTCAAAGCCTTTCCTTCAAACCAATGAACGTCATGTTGAAACTTCAGACCCTACTCAGTTTTGCAGTGGGACAGTGGGGTGAGATTCAAGCCTCTAACAACATTTGGCTCGTTGGAGAAAATAAAGATCAAAAGAAATTCAGTTAATTGGATCTAATTTTGTTAAGCTGCATAAAGTAAGATTACTCCATAACACAAAAACCAACAAACCCAATTATTGAGCACCTGCAATGTGCTAGGTTTCTTCTCTTCCCCTTTGCATATGCCAAAAAAACACACACAAAAAACAGGTTACAAATCTTCCTCTGAAGCCAGAGTAACTTCCATCTAGAAACGATACTACTCAAAATCAAGATCAGCCAGAAGCAAAACAGGCAAGGAGCCTGGATTCTCATCCAGCTCTGTCTCTCTCTGTGTGACCTTGGATGTTACTTCCCTTTTCTGTGCTTCAGCTTCATTTTAGTGCAAAATGAAAGGATGGTACAGGAATAATCTCTGAGATCTTCTCCAGCTCTAAAAGTCTATAAATATATGACCTGAAAACTCCAGTTAGATAAGGAACCTGCAGTTACAACACCTTGGCTTCCTTACTATGATGTAGTATCTGGGCCTAATGAACTCTGTTAAGATTCTCCGAAGTCCCTGAGGTTGATAAGGAACAAGAGAAAGGCAGACATCCTGCAGTTGCTCCAACAGGTCAGTTCATCACTAGGTGGTACTAGGTGGATGATGTGACGTTGTCATGTGCCTTCATTGCATAAAATACCTATGTTTTGCCAGACAGGGTCCATGGTTCTGACCAGGGAAGGCTAGTGGAAACCATGCATTTGAGCCTGGAGCTTGATGTCACTAATAAATAAAACTGTGAGCTGGCTGGCACATGAGGAATGTTTACTAGTCACCACAACCACACCAAGTGCTAGTATTTGCCATATGTTAGCCAGCCTTCATTTCTGGAGAATGTGCATACCCAACACTTGCATGCACTCACGCTGACACACATTTTTTGTACAAAATTCCCTTCCAACATGATTAAAACTAAAGAGCTTTAAAAATTGAACCAGCATTTACATTGCTATCCACACATATATGTTTCAAATGGTTTTTCTGGAATGTTCTAGGACAGAGATTTCCAACATGGGTGCTGCAAGAATTTTTAAAACATACAATACCTGACTAGCTAGGGGCACTGCCCTCTTTTCTTTTAGGTTGTCAAGTAAAAAAATGACAACAGCTAACTCAACAGCCTGTCTAGTGTGAATGCCCTGTCTTGAACCATAAATATATAGGTCATATATAATAGAGTTGCATCTTACTGGTCATGTCACATAATAAGGTTCCATCTGATTGGTTAATTCTTGGTACCAGAAATCCTTATATACAAGTACTGGCACTTGATTTTTTTAAAAGTCACTTTGGAGCAAAAGAGTAGGTAATTACTGTTTTTTTTTGTAAATCACAATTATACCCACTTTTTTTTTTTTTATCAGATTAGCAAAAGTGGTGTGTTTCAGAAATTTTGTAATTAGTTATGTATGCCATGAGGTGAAAAAGGCTGAAAATCACTGTTTTAGGGCATACCCTGAGACTGAGAAGTGGTGACTTATTGTTGAGGCTGTGAGGGCTGAACAATGACTGTGAATTCCCTTCTGAGCTTAGGAGCAGAGGCAAGGCAAAGTGGTCATGAAAATCAAACGAGCAAGTGTTTTGTGAAGTGAGGTGCCTCCTTCCTGAGATAGATGCCTGGCTTTGCCCTGCTGTCTTAATCTGAAAACAGCCTCAAGTCTACTAAAGTGAGGGCCTTGGTCGGAACGATGGCGCTCACAATGCCTGCAGTACTGCACTGGCACCTGCAGAGGGCAGTGGAAGACTGGACGTGAGACTGCAGTCTCTTCTGTCCCAGCAGCATTGCATCCACCTATGGTTAGTTATTAGGGAACTGATTGAGGATGTCAGAGTAGACTAAATGTGTTCAAAGCTCTCTCCGAGAGCTGGAAGGGAAGCTGACTTAGGGTTTCACGTGGACAAAAATCTTAAAGGAGCTCTCTGAAGGCATGGGTCAGCTGTGAAAGTGAGCTCCTGACAATGGCTAGCAGGGGAGGTGGGCAAGTTGCATTCTCTGAGTGTGCAACTTAGCAGTTTAGTGCTTTACTTACAGGGTCTCATTTAATCCTCCCAGTGCCCTTAAGAAGTGGGACTTTAATCCCTGTAATGACATGAAAGAGAAGCCCTACCCACAGCCAGGCAGATGGCTTATGCAAACATGTTTAGTCCTGGAAAAACACCACGGCCCATGGACTGCCTGCCGCCATGCAGGCCAGGAAACCTGGCCTGGACCGGGACTCGGTCAGCCTGTCGGAGTGCACTCCCGCTAAGCAGGCCCACAGAGGCTCGTGGAGGCACCAGCACCCGGGGCGGGATTCTCACGCTGGCGTGGCTGAGCTGCTGAATGAGCTGCTGTCCGGAGGCAGAGGTTCCTCCTATGTCAGCGCCAAGGTGGCTGGGAGACCAGAAAGGAGAGGACAAGATGGATGGAGGTCGCAGGGTGGGACCCCCAGGCAGGGGATAAGGACAGAAATAGCCCTAGCTGACTGATTTATAACTGGGGACATCCCTGAGCCCATGATATTTTTATCTTTAGCTGAGGGGTAGGCTGGAAACCATTCCATTTGCTGCCGATTTCTTGGCATAAAGCTACTTGGAACATGCAGCTTCCTGGACCTGCTGAGGTTTGACGTGATCCTGGAGCCCCAGGCTCAGGGGTCTGCCCTTTTGTCTCTATCCTGAACTGGGGGTGGGGGGAGTACTTGTTCTCCAAGGCAGGAGACAGATCTTGTGACAATCTTGTCACCTGAAAAAAAGCTGGCCACTAATCGGAGTGGAAATGCAGGCTCTGCCCAAAGAGTTTTTGGCATCACCTCTACCCTCACACTGGCCTGGCCCTGGCCTTGCAGAATCCCCAACACAACTCAGCATCCCAGAGCTGGAAGGAACTTGGAGACCATCAAGTTCGAGCTCTTTGTTTTAGAGCTGAGAAACATAAGCCCAGAGAGGGTAAGTGACTCCTTTAGGGTTGCACAGCCCTTTAGTAAGAGAGACAGGCTTACGACAAGGCTGCCTGGCTAGTCGTCCAGACTCATTAAACTAAATCATATACCCACTCCTCACGTGAGCCTTCTTTTACGCATTTGGGTCAGATTGTTGGGGGATATGACAGAAATCTAGTTACAGTGGTTGAGGAGGATACGGAGAGCCTGGGGCCCGAGATGAACACTGCAACAAGGAGGGGCATAGGCCTTTCTGCTGCCTAAGCTCCCAGGACAGGAAGCTAAGGTGGGATTCTTTCTTAAGTCCCACAGGTAGGCACAAAACAGTAAGTGCAAGGCATCCTCTTGTTCCAAAGTGAGTGCCAAGTTATATATACAAAACTTGTGGAGGGAGTGGCTGGCAACTGCTTTTGTGACCTTTAGCTCATCACCTATCTCAAGAGAATAAAAGATTGAAATATGGAGTTTGAGAGTGGAGAGAGAAGATTTCTTTGAAGAAGCAAGCTGTACATCTTCCCTTCCACAGAGGAGAGAGAAAGAAGAGAGGAGAGGGGAGATTATTCCCCTACACCAGGCCATGGGACGGGGTGTTCGAGTGGACCACTCAGAAGCCCAACCCGTGAGAACTGTTGAGAAGCTGTGTTTGATCAGCCTGAGGCAGCGGGGCAGTGAGGGGAAGGGAGCAAGAGTGAGCTGCACTGCCCCCAGGGTCAGGCAAGGATACCAGTGTGGCCACCCTAGAGGAAGCCACCCAGGAGGACTGCCTGAGGGTGGTGGTGGTGGTGGTGATGTAACCCCAGCAGAAGGAGGGACCATCTTGTGCCCAGGAATCAAAATATTTCAGGTCAGCTTTCTCAGTGTGGCCCATGAGAAGTACACACCCTTGCCCTGCTTCCTCTGTTCTAGTCTGACATCACCCCCTCCCCCACTGCACCTTTTTAGCAGGGAAGAAGGCAGCAGAGCTCTCTACTGTGCCTCTGTGACAGCCTGAGGGGGAGACCAGGGGTCCCGTTCCTGAGACTGAGCCCTGACTGTTGCTGGGTGAGGGGAGGCTATGAGAATGGTGGTGCCCAAGCTGTTCCCATTGTTCTGACGTTGTCCTGCATCGGTCCTGGGAGCACAGAGCACATTTCCAAGAGTCTAAGCTGAATGTGGCTTGCTCCCTCTTCTCCTGCCTCACCTCCCACCTTCAAGACATCCTAGTGGGAGTGGTGACCAGGTCTTGCCTCCTTCCAGTTGTCTTAACCCTTGAGCCCATGCATTTGCCCTGTGGTCTTCCTTCCTAGGGGTCCTCCTTGCTGCCTGACATCATTGAGGGGTGCTGCCTTTACTTGCATTGAGGAGGCTGGCCCGAGGTGCTGCACTGGGGCAGTGGCAAGGAACCCGCCTCAGCCCCTACTTGGTTATTCAGGAGCTGAACGGGACCGTGCAGGGCTGGCCAAGCGCTTCTGCTTTTCCTCTTTTCCCTCTTCTCTCTTGGGCGAGTCACCTTGCTCCTCTGAACCTCAGTTTTTTCATCTGAAAAATAGGCCTGGATAAACATACCTGCCTACTGGACTGTTGTGAGGACTGAGAGAGAGAGTGGGATTTAAATCACCTTGAAGAATGCAGAGCTGTCATCTCCAGATCTTTGATCAAAATGCAGGTGTGAGGGAAGATACAAAAGCTCGTCAAACTCGATGGACTGTAATGAGATATGGGGTGAAGGGGAACTGGCAGCACGCAGCGAGCTTTGGTCTTAAACCAGGTAAGACCAGCTCAGATTACTATATTTGAGCACAAATAACTCAAAAGGATTGATTAGCATGTCTCGGCTCTGCACACAAACGTGGTTTTCCCGGCACGCTGGGGAGGGAGGAGGGCCGGCACTCAGCTCCCCAGGGCGGACTAAGTGGCACCGGTGAGATTGGCAGACAGAGCCCTCCAGGCTCGCCCTGCTGTCTCCCTTTACCAACAGGCTGAAAGGAGGTGGCCCCTCTCTTTTCTGACCCATGGTGTTTAATTTTGTCTGGTGATGACAACAAATGATACTCATGCAAAGCACTTGACTTTGCATCATTTCATGTAACTCTTGCAATAAACCTATGAGGTATGTTGTACCATCGCACCCATTTTATGGAGGAGCCAACAGAGGCTCAGAGGGAGAAGAGGTGGTGCAGCCAAGAGCGCTTACTGGGAAGCCAATGCACGTATTCCAGTCTCAGTTCTCTTCCTTAGCTCTTGGATGACCTTA